GGATTGCATTTGGTAGGGTTTCTTTATTTTTTTCTTTTTTTTTTTTCTCAATTAAAAAACAAATGCCAGATTCCTGTAGAGGCAGTTTAACCACTGCTATTATTGTGTTTGTGACTGGTTACCACACATGAGCTTTGTGATTAAAATTAGGCTATTAGAAACAGCCAGTTTCTTGGAGAATTAGAGAAAACACTGAGCGGAAGCGATTTCTTTGAAAACAAAAACTGAATCAACTAATATGTTCCCAGTCATATCAGATGGGCCCTGCTTTTCTGTGTCTTTTAACAGGGCAAAACAGGAGAGATGGGGCTGAAGGCAAGAGCATTTCACACTCTTAGAGTTGGTGGGGATTAAAGGAGGCTCAGGTCAATAATTTATTAAAGGCTCAGTGTTTCTAATCAGCCTCTCAACCTTGCAACTTTTCAGCATTCAGACTTAGTTCTGAGTTTTGCATGAAGTTGTACTTTTATAATTTGTGTGGATCTGACTGTCCTGGACCAAAAGAGCCCTGACTTTTAGAGCATTTGAAAATCAGCCTCAAATTTCAAAATTTGAGAGGAGAGCCTTTTGCTCTTATCTATGCACTGTATAAGCTGCTGGGTTTAAAATGAGATGATTCCAGTGATCTTGAGCAGAATGGGTTAAAAATGAGGATTTCACAATCTGAAGTTGATGCCCTTCCTTGTATTTGGGGACACAGCTCGAGCAGCAAGCTCACAGTGCAGCTTCCCTGAGTGTCACAGACAAAAGCAGCTTAGCCAGGCCCCCCTGCTCTATCAGCTCTACCCAGTGCATTGTAAAATTATCTATGTTCCACTCTCGTGACATGGACAAAATTGAGTTTATTTACACTTAAATTACCTTTGTTGAGCAGAAATACTCAGAAGCCACATCTAGCAAGATACTTAAGTATCAGGACAGACAAATGACTATGATAATTTTGAAATACCACTTTTTGAGTTCAAGACCTAAAGCCAATGCTTATTATTAGGACTTCAGCATGTCACCCACACAGGTACTTCCCTAAAGCTTATCTGCATCCTTAAGAGCTGGAATGCTGTTCTAAATCTGTGGATCTCTTTCAGAATGACCTTTAGGCTCCCAATTCACCTGACATTTCTGAAACCTGCACCACGTTGATTTGTTGTACTTTTTGTGGCATGATTTTTGTCTTTGCTGTAAGGAACTCCCCTGTATCCTTGTTGATTGTTGATCCAGTTTACTTGGCTGCTCTCCAGCAGTTCAGAGGGTTTTTCCATCACCTGCTCAGGGCTTGTGAACCCCAGGACAGGCAATCTGCTGGTTGCAGAGTCACAGAATCATTGAATCATTTAGGTTGGAAAACACCTCTTAAGATCATTGAGTCCAACCAGTAACCCAGCACTGCCAAGCCCCAGCACTAAATCATGTCCCCACATGCCATATCTGCATGTTTTTTAAATTCCTCCAGTGATGGTGACTCTACCACTTCTCTGGGCAGCCTGTTCCAACACTTGACATCCCATTCAGTGAAGAAATTTTTCCTTATATCCAGCCTAAACTTCTGTGTGGTCAGTGAGGCTGCTCCTGCGTTGAAACGCTGACTTCCAATAGGAGTAAAGATTCACCATCCACAAGGCTATAAAATGCTCTAACTGGTCCAAAGTATTATTCCTATTCATCTCCATTTCAAAGAAAATTGAAGCTCACTTGGAGAAGTTGCTAGAAAATCGTGGCTGGTGACATCCTCGTTGGTGGCATTGGATGCCATGAAATGGCAGCAAAGGGTCGAATTCTGCCGCCCACAATCATTTCAGGCATTTCTTTTGTTCAGCTGCAGAGCCTGGCAGGGACCAGGGGAAAGTCTCACCCCTCCAGTCCTCTTCTTGTAGCTGCTTTTATTAAACAGGCGTCATTCCTGTCAAAGTGAATAAAGGGAAGAGAGAGCAGTTCATTATCCAGTGTATCACTTTGAGTCTAATACTAATTAAAAGCTTTGCCATCACTTCTGTGGAACCTATTCTTAGAAATTATGTAAATTAATTGGAGTTTTGAAGAGGAGCATATGCCAAATCCTAAGTAATTCCCTGCTGGCTGAGGCAGCTCCAGCGCTGGAACTAGAGAATGGCATCAGGATCTTTTTTTTTTTCTTTTGTGGCTGCAAAAATCTAAAGCTGCTTCGGTAAATTTTGATGCTTCTCTTTAGCAAATATACAAGACAGATCAAATATCCAGACCCTGACCATTTTCCAGAGAGGTACAGTACAAAGGCTTTTTCTCCACGAAAGCTTTTCCATCTCAAAAATGACATTTAACGCAGACAGGCTTTTTACTTCCACAGCATTTCTCCAAATAAATGCATGCTCCTGCTTCAAAGAGGATTTTGACCCTCACAAGGGAGATGTACTGGAGATCCTGTGAACTTCTCTTGTGAGTTCACTCTTGCTGCTAATTTAATGGGGAAAATATTTACTTGCTGTGCTGAATGAGAAGGAGGATTTGATCCCAAGGTACATAGCACATGGAGAAAAGGGGATGTGCTTTTGAAGTAAAATAGCTTTAAATATTATTAGCTTTTTTTTTCATTCCTATCTGGTTATTTTTCCCCTTTGAAAAAAGCCAAAGCAAATAGAAGGAAAGAGACCAAAGAAAATGATTCAGATAAAAATGAGAAGCAGTGTGATTCGGTGTCGATGTATTTTGGTCTCAATCAACAAATCACTTTAAAAGTTGATGAAACTACTTGCATGTTTAAAGCTAAACATGATTAAGTACTTTGGTGGATCTTGGCTTATTATGTATCGAGCTGGATCTGAGCGTGAATTGAATCATGGAAGGTTTGATGGGAAGATGCTGCAGTGTAAGCTTGTTTCCAGATGCATGTTTTGCAAAGTTGCCTTTTCTTTGTAACCTCACCCTGTCAACTAAGAGACGCTGGGTGTGGATCCTAGTGCAGGAGGAGGCAGCCCTCCAGTCCAGATGCTTTTTGCCTTTAGGGATTTGAAGTTCAGTGCTGGCGAGGTTGGATTTTTGCAGCCACCGTCTTCTCCTGCTGAAACCTTTTCAGTATTAATGTTGGCAGTTTTTGATAATGTTTCTGTCCCTGGTACTGTGAAACCTCCGTGTACATGGAGCCACATTCTCTTCCCTGCTTTAGACTTTAATTCAGCGAAACATTATCTGTGCAAAGCTGCTAGAAATGGGTGTCCTGTCTTTCTGATGCCCTAGTGATATGGAAATGGTGACCAGCAAATGCAAGTATCACTGATGGTTATAGAATCATAGAATCACAGAATGGTTTGGGTTGGAAGGGACCTTAAAGATCATCCAGTTCAAACCCTGAGTCATGGGCAGGGACACCTTCCACTAGACCAGGTTGCCCAGAGCCCCATCCAGCCTATCCTTGAACACTTCCAGGGACGGGGCATCCACAACTTCTCTTGACAACTCGTTCCAGTGCCTCACCAGCCTCAGGGAGAAGATTTCTTCCTAATATCTAATCTAAATCTGCCTTCCTTCAACTTAAAGCCATTCCCTCTTGTTCTATCACTGCATGCCCCTGTAAAGAGTGCCTGCTATACTGGAGGGCTCTCAGACTCCTGGATGTCTGCTCCTTCCTCAGCCATTAGTTCCTTGAGCCCCAGGACAATATTGTTAAATCTTCCTCAGTTTCCCCATCATTGTATACTTCTGCTCTGAGACTAAACCCGTTACGATTTTTTATTTTTTAAACTGCTTTTTGTTTCTCTCAGAAAAGGCTCCGTAACATTGCAGGGTTGTAAGATGAAAACAACAATTCACTTAGCCATGGTTGGAGCTTGTAAAAATCCTTATCTCTGGCAGCACCGGGAATGTAAGATCCCAAAATAGAAGTTGTTAAGTCTAACAAGCGGAGACAGTTCTTGGGAAAAGAAAGCACGATGACATACAACTTTGGATCAATAGAAAATCATTTTAGAACAAGAATACAGCATGTAGCAGTGAATGTAGATGGGTTTGTCATTGCTAACCACTTATTAGATAGCAAGCTTTCTGCATGTATTTTGGAGCAGCCTGTGAATGTGTGTTAAATATAACATCATCTCTTTTTATGCTTGTATTGGCTAATGCACTGATGGTTTGGAACTACTGTAGGACATTTTTATTGAATGAACACAAAATGCAATCATTGCTCTGGAATTAGGATGCCAGCTTGTATGACTATTAGATAGGGGTCACAAGGGATGGAGTAATTAGATGTTAAACACTAAACTGGTGGCAAGTTGGGAAGTTGAATCTGGGTTGCTTATGAGTTTCAGGATCCTGCTGCCATCCCCAAGGCTGCTTTAGGGAACCCTCTGGGGTTTGATCCCAGGTGAAAGTGTTTTGTTGGGCATGTACTTGAGCACAGCTACCTGTTTTCCCATCAACATGTTCCCTTGTTACCCACATTTTGGATCTGAATTCAGTGTCCAGGCCTTAGTCCACCTTCAGTCTCCTGGCTGGAAAAAATACCTTTCCAACTTACCATCTTGGAAACTAGTGCAGGTGCTTATTTTGGTACCCTGCAGGTGCTGGACATCCATCAGGGCAAATCAGGGCCATCCTGAGCTGTTTCTATCCATGTTGTGCATTATCCTGAGAAATGTCAGGATGAGACCTGATGCTCTTGGACCCCTAATTGCTCTCTGGTCAGAGGTGAAGAGGCTCTGCCAGGGGATGATTTTCAAGCAGCCATTTTCAGGCAGGTCCTCATTTTGGTGAGCACAATCTCCTTGTTGACTGAGTTCTGCTTAGATGCTACTGATGAGGTGGACATACACTGTACTTTAGATATGATGAGCTTGGTCCTGTAGATGTGTCCTCTAGGAGTGAAGTTGTCCCCTCTCTTTCTGTGGTTGGGTTGGCACGAAAAGAACATAGGATCAGAAGCACTCAGCTAAGTGACAAAATCCACGTGGACACCTTTCAAATAGATTTTCAAATGTATTGGCTCCTTGTTGGATGTCACCATGTGTTCCTCTTCCCATGTCTTCCCGCAGGACCATGCTGATTTGAGAAACCACTTCTTCACTGTGGGGATGAAGCTGGAGGCAGTGAATTTGAGGGAGCCCTTTCATATCTGTCCTGCGTCAGTGACCAAGGTGAGCGCTCGGAAAGGTAGGGATGAAAACAGCCTGGTGAGGAACCTCTTACTGATTTCCACCACATTTAATAAAATTTGAGAGTGGTACTTAATTGGCTGGAGAACACATGAAAAAATATTTTTAAAATCCATGGATGTTTGTAATTAATGAATTGAGTCTTTCCCACAAGCATCCCAGCTGACTCTATGCACTTAGAACCAATGGGGATGAGCAAGTTCATCCACCACTTCCATGCAAAACTCTTTTGTCTCCATCTCCCCTACATCCATATGTATTTTCCCTGCCCATCTGGCAAACCTTTGGAAATAAAACAGCTGAATGGAGGCAGTAGCTGGAAGTTTAATCCACACTGTCAAAGGCAGGAGGGAGGAGGGCATTGAAGTCTCCAGGATCACCTTCAGTCCCTGCTCAACTGTGAGCCCACTGAGTGACCCTGAACCCCAGTGTTTTCCCTTTTCTCAGTTTACCCATCTCTAAAACTCAGGCTTTGATGTCTTTGGTGGAAATACTTTGATGGAAAGAGTTAGGTGAGAGCAGGTTATTTTCAGTAGTTTGATCCCACAGCTTTCCACATTACCTAATGTTCTGACTTTGTTCTCTTCTTTTTCATCCCTTAGGTTTTTAACAATCATTATTTACAAGTGACCATTGATGACTTAAGACCTGAACCCAGCAAAATCTCAATGCTTTGCCATGCAGATTCCTTAGGGATCTTGCCAATACAGTGGTGCCTTAAAAACGGAGTCAATCTCACACCTCCCAAGGGTTCGTATTCCTTCTCGCTGATTTTCAGGTTTCCTCTGAAGCAAATTTGCATGTTATTATTGACTTTAAAACTGTAGTGGTGGTTGCTGCAGAGCATCACCTGAAGTATCTCAAGCCAGAGTAGCTCTCTGGAGTGACTGGGGCTGTTCTGGCTCACACCAGCCCATGAACTTCTTAGCAAATGTGTCTTGATGGTGGATTAATGCCCGTATGCTCTGAAGTCTGAATCAGGCTGAATTTATCCTTGTGAATTCCTCTTAAGTGAATCCTAGCAATTCTTTGTGTATGTAGAGAACAAAAGGAGCGTTAAAAGTCCCATCATACAGCGGGCAAACCAGGCATCTCCCTGTAGCATCCACCTGGATACAACACTGAGGCCAAACAAAGCTCCTAAATCTGAATGTCCAGACTGAACTCAACAGCTGCCTGCCCAGGAGTGTGTAGGCATTTCCTTGGCTGTCTCAGAAAATCCCAGGCGAGGGCTCATTGTGAGCAGTGTTCAGGTCAGAGCCAGGAGAAGCAGCCTCCAACGGTGCTATTCCCCAACTTTCTAGTGGTGCAGTTAATTACTCTCCGTTTCAGACAACCCCCTGCGGTGTCCCAGCAATATTTCTTTGCTTGAAAAACCTGCTGGTTCTCTGGAATTTTAGATTTTTGAAACTGGCTGGCTCGTTGGTCCATTGCCAAAAACTGGCGTTGCTCGGGAGAAAAAGAAACGCCTCAAAAAAAAAAAAAATAATCCCACTGAGTTTTGTGTACGAAGATTTGTCTTAGTTTTGGAAAAAGTGTGGTGCTGCCAAACCCAGGGAAGTGAAGGGTTATTTTGTACTGGATTGAGAGTCCTCTGCTTTTTCAGCAGATGCAATTTGAAATTCCCACCAAAGTCCTGGAGCCCTGTGCGTGCAGCTGCATACGGTGCATCCGTTATTACTCTGCTGCTTATACTGAAATAAACGTATTCAGTAAATGTGCTGTCTGGGGCTTTAACTCCCTCCTGCTTAAATCCAGGTGAAATGATAATACCTGTGTAAATGCTCACTGATACTGGCCAGAAAAGTTGCTAAAAATGAAAGCAGATGAAGTATTTTCAGCTTTTTCCGCCCAAATTCACATGCAGCTTCCCCCAGGCTGGATAATTAACTGAAGCAGACCATGGGCCAGACATTTCTCTTTACAGGGTCGTGGCCTAATAATTTCCAATCTGTGCTGGTACAAAGCCTGTCTGAGATGGTGTTTTATGGGTCAAGTATGTGCAAACGCTTTTTTGGATGCCAACATTTTTAGATGTGTCTGAAGCATCCGTTTTATGAATATTTTTTCAACTTAGCCAGTAAAGTCCAAGGGGAAAGTTTTTACCTGGACTGATGCATCAGACCAGCAACCTGGTCTAGTGGAAGGTGTTCCTGCCCTTGGCAGGGATTGGAATTAGGTGATCTTCAAGGCCTCTTCCAGCTCAAACCATTCTGTGATTCTGTCATCCAGTGTGATGCCTGGTGATTGGAGTCTGCCTGGATGCCTGAGAAAATGTAGCAAGTCTCCCCTTATTCCTCTGATGAAAATAAAATTTACTTTCTTCTGTGAGATCAGAAATCCTGAAGGAAAGCTAGTTAAAAGGCATAAAGCCAGTGGCAGATAGATGCATTCTAGATGTTGCTGTATTTTTTACACTGTGTATGAGGGCTGCATGCCCAAACTGCATTTTAGCACCTTTGGTATCAAAAACCTTTTTGGTTGGTAGACAGGCTCTCTGAGTTGCTGAAATGTAATCAGATACTAGAATGATTCATTTAAGAATAAAAACTCCCAAACTAAACACAGCAAAACCCCACAAACCACACAAAAAAAGCAAGCAGAGGGCAAGTGAAAAGCATCCAGACCTTTACTGAGGGTGCCAGACTTCTCTGAGCAGAATAATACCAGCTTTGGGTGAAAAAAATGGCCAGGACTGACATGAGGGGGCTGCAATGCTGCAAAGTGGGGAAGGCTCTGGTGTGAGCTGGCTGCTAATGAGCTGGTCTGTACTAGGAGGAAATTCCACCATTTCCACCTAAATCACAGCTCTGCCTGCCCTGGAGTGTCCAGAATTGCCCCATCTTGCACCAGATTGGACCAGCCTCCTGCTACCCCAGTGCTCACACGTTCCCAACCAGCATCACCCCTAACAGAGAATAGGTTGACAATATTACTTCACCAGAAAGGTGCTCAAGCACTGAAACAGGCTGTCCAGGGCAGTGGTGGAATCACCATCCCTGGTGAAATCAAGAAATGACTTGATGTGGTCTAGTTGAGAAGGTGGTGACGGATCAAAGGTTGGACTCGATCTGAGAGGTCTTTTCCAACCTTTATAAATCTGTGGTTCTGTTGAGTGTTGCCCAAACGGCTCTCCCTGTTGAAAGGCAAGAAGTTCCCATGAAGCAAAAGATGGCAATGGAAGAAGTACCTTTTTCTTTGTGTGAAAAGAATTTCTTTGCTGTATTCTGGGCTTGTTTTTTTTTTCTTAATTTATGATTGACGAGGGGGTTTTCTGTTCTTAAAATTAACTGAATTAATTTCATCAGAACAATGTACCATGTTGGGGTATTTGAGTTCAGAGTCCTTTATTTATCTGATAACCATTCTTATGCCTTTTTGCCTATCAGGGGTTTATTGAAGCCAAACATAAAGTAAATGAGTCATGAACAGGAGGTGCAAACATTTGCTACTACAAATAGAGAGCAGTATTTTCCTGTACAGTGCCAAAAATGAATACCCATTTACTGCTGCTGTATAAACATTGAACAAGCACTGTTTATATTTATTAGAGCTGGATTTATAGACCACTTCCCTTTAGAGTAACAACCATTGTTTTATGAGCTGTTTAGAGGGGGGGAAAACATTTTGATAGTGCTCCTAGTTGTAAGCCTTACTAAGGAAATGCCACTTCCGAAGCCTCCAGTACATTTGTATTGTTATATTTGCTTCTTGTTAGACTGCTGGGCTCTTCCATGGTGAGAGCTGAGATAGCAAACACAGCGAGGTTTTAAATGTTTGTAGGAGCAGCAGATGAATCGTGCAAACACAGCTTTCAGTGTTGTTACTTGGGCTGAGCCTTCCAGGATAACAGTGTGTGAATGCCATGTACCAGTGGAGGTACTGGGTATGTGGTGCCTCCCCATGTACTAAGGGAGGCAGCTTGTGGCATGATCATAGAACCACAGAATCACTAAGGTTGGAAAAGGCCTCCAGGATCATGGAGTCCAGTCTTTGACTGATCACCACTTGGTGAGCCAGACCACAGCACCAAGTGCCACGTCCGTTTGTTTCTTGAACACTTTCAGGGATGGTGACTCCACCACTTCCCTGGGCCGTCCATTCCAATGCCTGACAACTCCTTCAGTGAAGAAATTCTTCCTAATGTCCAACCTGAACTTCCCCTATCACAGTTTGAGGCCATTTCCTCTTGTCCTATTGCTTGTTGCCTGGGAGAAGAGCCCAGTCCCCACCTGGCTACAACCTCCTTTCAGGCAGTTGTAGAGTGATAATGTCCCCCTGAGCCTCTTTTTCTCTGGGCTAAATAACCCCAGCTCCCTCAGCTGCTCCTCATATGACTTACTTGCGAGACCCTTTCCCAGCTCAGTTGCTCTTTTTTGGGTACAATCCAGCATGAAAATGTCTTTCTTGAAGTGAGAGGCCCAGAACTGGACACAGTGATTGAGGTACAGCGTCACTGTGATGTTCCATAAAAAGGCCATGTACAGGTCAGGGCTTGTTTGAAGCCAGTTCCTGCGTGTGCTCCTCTTGGAATCATCCTCATTCTGCTGCTGAAGTGAATTACAGCAAACTCTCTAACAGCCCTCCCTTTTTTCATTCCTTCTGAAGTCTAAAAGCGAAAGATCTTCCAGTGATTTCAGTGGCGCAGGGCTAAGCCAAGCAGTGGTTGTGCAGTGACAGCACAGTCAAGTTTTTACACCTCACAGTCAAGTTTTTACACCTCACTGAAACCTCTTTAATGTGCCTTTTCCATCCACTCTGACAAGGTTTTGCGTAGCTTGCAAATGAGATGCAAAACCTGTCCATGAGGGGTTTAAATCAGAGATGAGAAGTGCAGGGTATGGTCAGGTTTTTGATTCTCTGGCAGCTGAAGTGAACCCCAGGTGATGTCATTTGTACAACTGTGTCGTGCCTGTCCCCACATGAGCCCATCCCCAACTTCTGGCGTTGATGGAGAGTGAGAGGGACTTTCACAGGGCAGTTCTACTCTGTCTGCAGGAGAACAACCAGACCACCTCTAGATCTGCCTGTTTCTCTTGTTGACTCCTTGGGGAACCCAGGGTGACTGGCACAGCTGTAGATGTCCCCACTGCAAACATCTGTACGTGATCAGACAGATACCCCTCTGACATCAATTGATGTGCACATCTCTTGTTTTCCATTTCGTTTTACGAAGCTGAAAAGTCTCTGGCAAACAAATAACTGGAGAGAAAAAAGGAGATGGAGAAGAAGAGGGAAGAAAATACTATTGCAGAAGTTGTTTGCTAAAAAAAACAGTGCAGGGGTATTTTTTATATGAAACATGAACATTCTTTATAAGTAATTGCCCTTTTTTTTCTTCCCTGTGCATATTTATTTCTAGTTTTCTAATTATTATGCACTTTCATGCCCCACAGAGACAGGCATCTTAGGCTTTATCTTCATAATTTGTCATGTATGCAATCATTAGGATTAGAAGTTCATCTTATCCCAGATACTTTGCATCTTAGCAGGATGCTTGGGACTTCACTTTCAAAATTTTTACCCTCATTTTTGGGATCTGGCTGACTGATAAGGGATTACACTCAGTATTCCAATCCTTACCCATAAAAAATGTCCCAGTTTTTATTGTTATAAGTGATTAATTCACATCGAATCTTGAGTGTCCCTTTTTGACTATCAATGCAAAAGGCATTTAGGGATGTTCTATGAAATGAGGCCAGGCTAGATGCCAGGAAGGGAGATTGAGGGGAGAACTTGGCCTTTGGGTGACTCCTGAAACTTTCCAGTGAGAGTAGTTCTGCCATAATGTTATTAGAGTATCCACAGGGCCCTGGACAGGATTAGCACTCACTGGTTTCAAGCACTGTAAAAATACAGATTAAGAGGCAGGCAAAAAAAGCCCCAAAAAGCAAATTAAAAAAACCCCTTTCTGTCCCAAGAGTTTATTGCCTAAATAGCCAAGTAAGAATAGTGGATGAACAGAGGCCTGATTTGTTTTTCTGTGATGGGACTCTTTGAGAGATGCTCACTTTTACCTAGAAGCAGAGGCTGAAGGGATCATGTAGTTGCTGAGATTGGGAATTTTGTGGTCATTTTCCAGCTCTGCTCCAGGTTTCTCTAACATTCTTACTGTGATGGGATTCAGCTGGGAAGTCAGTCATGGAGGGTACATCCATGTCAGTGAAGAGGGGGCTTATCTCATGCTTTGAAAGAGAGGATGAATCAGCTTCTGATTGTGCTGATCCTCTCACTGTCCACTGCTGAGGGACCAGCTCATAACCCATGTCCAGCTCCACAACCCCATCTTTTAGATAGCTAAAGGAAGAAGAAAGAAGTCCACGAGCAGCCCCACCTGGAAATTGGGGACAGCAGCACTTTCAGTAGTTATGGGTTTATTAAAAGTTGGAAGATGCTAACAGAAAAGGGAAAATAAGGAAAATATTTATGTTTTATTACTTCTTAATGAAGAGTTTGAGTTTTCAAAGTGAAACGCAGAAGGTGTGTGAGTGAGGGCTGGAGAAGTGTTGACATTGGCTCTCATGGAGTATAAAGGGGCATCCAGAGAAATTGCCTGGAGATGCTGCACAGTTCACTGAGGTGGGATGGGATGCTGAAACACAGATGTTCATCTGCTTGGGGACCATTTTGTGCTCTCTCTCTCCGGTGTGAAGTGGTGGCTGATGGCACTTTCTGTTTTGTCCTCCTGCAGGTTACTCTGGCCAGGACTTTGACTGGGCAGACTACCAGAAGCAGTGTGGAGCGGAGGCAGCGCCTCACCTGTGCTTTAGAAATGTAAGTTCTTCCTTTGGCCTTGGCATTGCTCCTGTCTGTCCATGGGAAACAAAACAGCTTGCACATAAAAGCTGCAGCAAGGCTTTGGGTGGTTCCCCAGACCACCATGAATCGGCGTTAGGAAGGGAACTGGAGAAGTGTCCCAGGTCTCCATCCCTAAAAGAGAAGAAACTTTTCCTCTTGTCTTTATCTGATTAGTTTTCTGCTCTTCATCTCCTCTCTGCTTCTGTACAGCACTTAGCACAAGAAGGATGTCAACTGACCATAAAAAGTAATTCAAGTCCTATTAAAAAAAAAAACAACTAGGTAAAGAAGTTGCATGGTTTCATCTGTCCCTTTTCACATTTTGGATGTTTTCTCTGGTTCCCAGGGGGATACATGTAACCAAACCACATGTCTTTCAAAGCTAAGGTTGAAAATATTGAGTTCATAGTATGAGAGGAGTGATTAACCCTCATGGATGGGGTTTGGGACAGTTCGTGTGCTTCCTTGATGCAACAGGAGTGATGCGAGAGTGACCAGCCCATCATTATGCTGGAGTCCATAAGATTCAGAGCTTTGGAAAAAATGTTTTACAGGATGTTTTATGGCGATGACAATCCTGTGTGACTTGATCTGACAGGTATTCATCACTTGGAGAAAGGCAGATCCAGCTTTCTGCCTCTTCCAGTAACTTGAGGCTCTTCTTCATGTGCCCATCAACTGATTGAAGTTGAGATCCCATCAATAACCGAAAATGTTACTGATGATGGTACCTAAATGTTACTGGTGCAACTAAAATGAACACAGAAGGGTTTGTGAAATAAACTGGTGTAGTGGATGACGGACAAGCAGGTTCCTCTAGGAATTACATTTTCACTCTACTCAGAAGTCACAGGACTGGGGGACGAGGTGTTTATGGAAAGCAGAATGGAGACAGTCTCACCAGGCACAGGTTTTGCATGGCCTTGGTCATGTGTGGTGGCCCAAGGGCAGCTTGTCTTGGAAGCTTTGATAGTGAACTGATGAATTTTCTGTTGATGAATTCAGAAGACCTGTACCTCAACAGACCCTGACTTGAGAATCAAATTAGAGTAAGGATTTCTCTACCCCATTTATACCCCCTATGCAGAACCCTTTACCTAAAGGGACTTTAAGTGAAGATTACTGAAAGTGGTGAGGGAAGCTGGACAGTGCTGCTTCACACCAATAGAGAGGGAAAATTGTTGTGTTTCTTCTCTTCTGCAGTCACCCCTCCCTTTTCCTTGTATCTCTTTTCCTTTTGCCAAGTAACAGATCTGTTCTCTTAGCACTGGCAGCCTTGAGAACAGTCTCTGTATAATATCCTCCAAGATTAAATCAGGTCTGAGCACTTTTTTGTCCTTTTTTTTTTTCTCCTAAGGAAATATTCACCAAATGAACATGTGTCTGTTATTCTTTCACTCTTGATAACACAGTTCTTTGCAGAGAGATGCAATCTCTCTGTTGTCATTTGTTCAACCTCCCTGGCAGGTTTGTCCACTTGATTGAGGCTCTGAGGGGCTCTTTGATAGAAGCTTTATGCAAGCACATCTTCCACCTCGTGCAGCCAGACGTGGTGCTGGCAGTGGATGTGCTGTAACTGTTTTCCCAGGGGGAATTTTCAACAAAGAGAGGCAGTTATGAAATGGATTGACATGACCAAATGCTTAGTAAAATAAACTCCCAGCTAACTGTTTTGCCATTGATTCTGTACAAATGAGCCTCCAACACCGAGTGGCAATGAAAGGAGACGGTGCGATGATAAATGATGTTTCCTTGTTAGGCAACTAAAAGGCATTTAAACAAACTCACTCTGCTTTTCTGCAGTCCTGGCCATCAGCAGCTTTAAGAGGGTGAAGCTGATCTGGGTGAAGCTTTAAGAGGGTGAAGCTGAGCAAGGCTTGAGACAGTCCAAGTGATATTTGAGACTAGCAGCATGCTCTTGGATGCAAAAAAGACCAAATCCAGAAGTTTTTGGTCTCACAGAGAGCTCCCAGTGATGGCTCAAGTTGAAATTCCCGCAGTCCTTGTTGCTATAAAAATGGCAGAAGTAATTGAATTTGAGCCTGGCTTCCAGTTTCTCACATGGGGTGGCTGGATGGGAGATTGGTGTCATTTTGAGTCAGTGACTATTATTACCCATCCCAATTATTATTAACCACAATCTCAGCCAAGAAGGGGAACCTTTGCCCCCTCCCGTGGGCAAAAAGAGAGAGATGCAGAGGTGCTACCATTGTTGCTGATGAGCTTGATCTTGGCCAGTGGTGGGGCTGTCTTGGAGCAGACTGGCATTGGCTTTATTGGACATAGGGCAAGCTTATGGCATCTTCTCACAGAAGCCACTGCTGTAGCCCCTCTGCCACCAAAACCTTTCAAACCCAGTACAGGTATCCAGGGCAGCTCCATTTTTTGTTCTTCAGTGTATCCTGCACTTCCAGTGAAAAGCAAACCATGCTAAATTTGTGCTTCCCACTGGACAGCCTGATTGAAGTCACACAGTGCTGCAGTGCCGTATTTCAGTGTTGGCTCTTGACTCTTTCAGACATCCTTCAGCCGTGGCTTTACTAAGAACATGAAGCTGGAGGCAGTGAACCCCAGGAACCCTGCAGAGATATGTGTTGCTTCTGTCACCTCAGTGAAAGGACGGTTAATGTGGCTTCACCTGGAAGGTAAGTGCTGTAACAGCTTCTTTTGCTTGCCTGGCTCACTCACTCATTTTTGTCCTTCATCCTCTGCACAAAATTGCTTTCTTCAGCTTTTCTGTTTTATACATGTTGACCAATAGTGTGTTCTAAAGAATTATCTTTCCTTGATCTTTCTCTGAGGGAGCTGCAAGCCCTTCCACCCTCCCATCCATGTGGACTCTTATCAGCATGACCTCCATTGACAACAGAAACCTCTTTCCTGCCCTCATGGTAGACCTCCATCCTGGGAATGGAAGTTTGCCTCTCTTGTGCAGCTGAGACTTCCACTGTGATTCCCAACATGCTGTCATGGTCTCTCCTGACCCCCAGCAACCAACTTCCCTAACCCTTTCTCCCTCTCTCCTTCGTTCTCTCCCTCCCTCTCCTTTTTTCACCTATGTCCATAAGACTTTTGCAATATATGCTGTTCCTCACCATGGCCATCTCATGCTCATTTCCCTCCTCCCTGTGACCACGTAATTTTCTTTGTTGATCTGAGAGGAATCTTGAAGTCAGTAACTCTATTCTATAGACTTTAGAAAGCACTCACCCCGTGGGGGACACCAGCACTGTACAAGCAGTGTTGGGACAGTGCTGAATTCTAGCAAAGCATAATAACATATCAAAATTCCATCTCCACCTTTCTTGAAATGAAGCATAAATCAGCTCCTTTTTTCTGTTTGTTTTTGCACTTAGGACTGTTTTTTCAATTTGTCTGGGCAAGGACCGATTAAGTGTGTGTAATTTAAAACAACACAGGGATTTTTTTTTTACTCTTGCTTTAAAAGCTGGAATTTGTAAAATTCAGAGAGCAGAAAGCCATGTTCATTTAAGTGTTTTGATGGGCACTGTGATAAACCATAACAAGCATCTGTCATTGTCACAACACAGTTTAATTTTTAGCCATGTTTGAAGCTACTGGCTTTGTCTGTAAGGGATGTAAAAGCTTCAGTTTTCCTCTAAAATCAATATTAATTGGCTCAGCATCAACTACAAATATAGTATACCTATTTGCTTTTTTCTGGAGAACCATGAACATGGAAAAGGCATTTCCAGTGGCCCACAGTAAGATTTTGGCCCTCCCAAGGTAAAACAGTTACAGAAGGTTTAGTGTGAGTACAAGACATTGTTGAGCATATGATTTCAGAAAAGAACAGAGGGATTGGGGTTGAGACAAGAGGTTCTTACAGAAATTGCATGTGAGATGAAAACTCAAGCCTGATCTGCAAAAAAGGGCACTTTACCTCTACAGCAAGATGCTCAACTCTCCATATTTTGCGTCTGGAAGACAGTGAAAGCAAGATTGATACTAAATATATTTCTTTGTCATCACCTGGTATATCACCTCCAGTTAATAAAAACATTGGCAGGTAACCCAAAGTATCATTTGTGCCAGCAGCTTGCTCTAAAATACAGGACAGGCAGATGCTCAGTGGTTTTGCTCTACAAAAATAACATTCTATGGTAGACAAGTCTTTCCTAACTCCTCTGTGATAAATCCCATTCTTGGAGATTTTTTTAGTCAATTGCTGCCTAAAGAGAGAATCCCTCTGCGTTTTTGCTTTTGATAGAGCTCTGTGCAATAACAGGTTGTGTTTTTTTCCTCTGAGGTAACTGGTTGCTTCTAATTCAAGGTATCAACACCTCATCTGTAGCCTGGTCCACATACGGGGCAGGCTTGTTAAAGAACTGAAATCAACACTTGTTTGAAATTCCATTCTCACTAAGGCTGTTGAATTTACACTCATCTGGTCAAGGAATCTGACACATTTTGGCAACTTCCCTTTTTAGATGACTAGGTGCCTTCACCTTTATATGCATAAAACGTGGATAGAGGCAGGGAGAGGACAATACACTCCCACCTTGCTTCCCTCCCTCATCTCTTTCCCCCTGCCTTTTACTCTCTTAATTTCTTAAAGGATATTTTTTACAACTTACCTGTGTGCATCTCCTTGTCTTTTGAGTTCTGATATATAGATGCTTTACACTTGGTTTATATCTCGATACCAGGAATAGAATGATCTGTAGTAAAAGGAAAAGATGCAGAAGACTGCAAAAAATAAAAAGAAATCTTTGCTGCTGTAGAAATACATCACTACAGTACGCACAGTTATGCTAAAAGAGGCGTTAAAAAAAAAAACAACAACACAAAACCCTGCTTGCAGAGTTGTAAAATAAATGTGGCTTGAGCTGTGGTGTGTTTTTTTCACTCCGTTGATATACTGTTGTTTCTAACTGATTATTTATATTCTGGAAGCAGCAAGACTCCCCCAAGTACCATGGGAGCCTCTTGCTGAAGACCTCGGGTCCCACCATTTGTCATGGGCACGTCTGAAGCTTTCATTGTTGCCCTCCCCAGTTTCGCTGTCTGACAGCCCAAACTGCGGCCATAAACCAGGACGTGGTAGTTAAGCAGCGTCGAGTCAGACATGAGGCAACATTGCCTAATAAATCACACTTTGTACAGTAGCAAAACTCTGTAAACTTCAGGGCAGGCATTTAATGAGCAGCAGTGTAGTTCCCCCGTGGTGGAGGAGAAGCCCAGGACTGATGGGATGCTTTGGCGCATCCCGGCGCTTTCCGCTACTTTATTGCTCATCATCTGCATTGTTAATTTTTACTGGTTCATTTTAGATTTGAAAGCTGGAGCTTTCCAGTGCGAATTTATACAAGTAATAACGTACCCTCTCTGCACAGCCTAGGAATTTTGAGGAAAACCCTTTTGTTAATCACTTCTCCAGGGAGTTTCCCATAAATTCCCCTTCGACAGTTTTCTAGAGCTGCTGCTTTATTCTTCCCATCCTGTAAGATTCATAGCAGGTCACAGAAGTTTTACTCACCCTGTTTCCAATCTCCCTGTTCTTTTCCATTTAACCTCCCAAATCTCATGGGCATTTCTCAGTCTAAGAAGATGGCAGCATAAAATGCAGCAAATGAAACTAATGAATCTCAAACAAGCTGTTTTCCACTTCCATGAGTGAGGCCAAAGGCAGCAGTAGGATGTTGGAAGTGGAAGGCAGGGTTATCAATTGCCAGAAGGCAGAGGCAGTGCCAGGGAGGACAGAGTAGCTGTGAATATGTCTTAAAGAGGAATAGAGGTGTTGCAGGAGAACAGACATTATGGTGCTTCCTTGCTTGTCAGGGTGGCTGCAGCTGTAAACTTCAAAACCAGAATGTTCATAGGCTCATAGAACCATTTTGGTCAGAAAAGACCCTTCATGTCACACCTGTTGCTGCCTTCCAGCAGGAAAGTACATTTGATCGATTTATTTTTAGAATAATTTAGAATCACAGAATCATTAAGGTTGGAAAACACCTCTAACAGCATCAAGTCCATTTGGTCAGAGTAACGTCGTTACAATAATGAAAATAGTGGTTTTTCCCAGGCCTGGTGACATGTCAGTGGGGACTGTGCTGATTTCTTGCTCAGTTTAGGGTTTGATCCGTGGCTGGCTCACTTTGTGCATGTCTTGCCACTGACTTCAGCTGTTCTCACACTGGTTCCTTGGCAGGATTCGTGGTGTTGGGTAAAAATGTTTTCCTCACTGGAGAGTGCAGCTTTCGTGAGGTTCAGATGAGCAGTGACCTTGGGATATTTTCTTGTGGAGGGAAATGGCTTTGCAGAATGTCAGCTGCTGAGATCTTGCATTCAGCAGATTGTGTGCTGTACCACATGCTTTCATTCCATCCTCTACTCTGCCCCTTATCCCAGTGAAGTAAACGTTTATTTTCGATGTATGAATACGATACTTACCTCAGAGAAACACCATGGAGACACCCATGAATCTATGCAGACATCATGATTTCATTTTTTAATTATTTCCTCCAGCAGTGTGGGCACCAGCACCTATTTTCCTACTTTCTTTGGGTTTTCATGCATCCACACCCTCTCAGAGTGCATCAGGTTTATTCCTAGAGACAAGATCAATCCAAATGCTGCATCTCAGCCTCAGGATGCTGTTCCCATCACAAAGTTCAATTACTGTTTCAATTACACCACAAGCCCTTGGTGAACATTCATTAGTGGAAGTTCCCTGTAGTCATCTGGCTGTGCACAGTCAAACACTGCTGCCTCAAGCAGGAGGCAGAGATGTTGTAACAGATGCCAAGGCAAGGATGGTGCTGATCCTTTGGTCTCTTTTATTAGATCATCACCTCATGCTGGTGCTGGAGCTGTAGGTCCTAGGGTGGAATTGGCAGAGGGGGGTGAAGATGCTGGCCTGACACAGATGAACTCGATTGGGGGTAATTAAATGGTGCCTTGATTCAGGACATGGAGTTGTTTTCAGAAGAACTCAAAGCCAACAGGAATATTTTCATTTGCTGCAATGGCATTTGGGTGGAAAACAGGAAAATTAGGAAAAGAAGTAGGAAGAATTTCTTTCCCTGAAAGGGTGCCCTAGCTTTCGAATAGGCTGCCCAGGGAAGTGGTGGAATAATCATCCCTGGAAGTGTTCAAAAACCATGTGGATATGGTGTTTGGAGACATGGTTTAGTAGTGGGCTTGGCAGTACTGGTTAATGGTTGGACTCAATGATCTCAGAGGTCTTTTCCAACCTAAATGATTCTATGATTCTGTGAGTGTGACTCACATAAACTAAGACTGCAAGATGTCTTCTAAAGGAGACATAACCAAACTGGAAGAGATTTCTTTAAACACAGACTTTCAGTGAAGTTTTGGAGTCAGTATTGTGCCAGAGACCTTGGTGCATGTGTCCCACTTGGGGTTTTTATCTGCCTCTCCCCTGTTGGATGATCAGCTCTTGTTTCACGTGCAGTGAGGAGCCCTAGGACAATTCTTACCACTTCTAGACAGAGAATGGCCACCTCCCACCCTTAAAAACAGCGACTCAAGGGAAGAACTACAAAAAAAAGCTTCAGGGGGGCACTGAGGCATAAAAGCCTGTCTATCACTTTAGCTACCATCCTGTTAAAGCCCCTATACACTCTCTTAGCATTAGGAGCAAGCATCCAACAAGTCCTGCTGACTCACTTGTGCAACTCCACAAAAAATCCAAGGGTCAAATCAGGCTGTTTTGTTGGAGAAAGTTGTGCATCTTTAACCTTACTGGCTTTTGGCTGCTTCACTGCACGCCCTTACAGTGCTCTTAATGGTGTTTTCCTCTGAATCACACTGCACTGTAAATGCAACAGCCCTATCCTTGCTGTCTGTGCAAAATTGGAGATGAAATGGTGCCTGATTTTGATGCAGGGAAGCAGATTTATTTTCACACGTTCCATCATTCGCTCCCCTTGGTTTGTGATGAACGCTCGGGTGGCTCCGAGCTTGGTATTCCTGCATCTAAATCACATTTTAAATTTGTGTTTATAGGTTTACAGATGCCCTCTCCAGAGTACATAGTTGATGTCGAGTCCATGGACATTTTCCCTGTGGGCTGGTGTGAAGCGAATGCTTATAACCTGACTCCACCACACAAAGCTATTTGTAAGTACATGAAGACTCCAAGCAGCCTGGATATTACATCACTGGATATATCAGGGAATTTGTCTTCTGTCTATAATCCCACTTTTGAAACTTATCATCCTAACTAGCAGACTAATAAGCAGGATGTAAGTGTACTGTAATAAATAGTAATAAATCTAATTAGTGACCAGACTGGAATTAGGCAATTTGTACTTGTCTCTGTGATGAATCCCTCCAAAAATGGGATTTTTGGGGGGACTGGGTAAGGCTGTTACATGCTTTCGGATTGCACAGTTGGTTGTGGATTTGCAATGGGGTTGTCAGAGAGAAAGCAGATTTTGTAGTGCTGAGCCAAGTTCACTTGGGCAGCTGAATGAATTAGAGAAGAAGACCTCAAATTGGAGAAAAACCTCATAAAATATAGGGTGAAATGAACATAAAGAGGCCATCCAGGTGGTACTCCTTTCCAAAACAGGATCTGTTCCATCTAAATTGAGAAATATTTGTTACCCTTCTGTGATAGTTTCTGTCCCTTCCCAGGGTATCTGTCCCCTTATTTCACCACCCTTACAAGCTCAGAGATTTTCTTAGTGTTTAATTTAAAATCTCTCCCAGCACAATTAAGCCCACAGTGTTTTGTCCTGCCTCCAGTGCATATTAAGACAAATTTCTTTCCTTTCTATTTGCATTTGAAGGCAGTTCACGAGAGCTCAGTGTCTTAGTGTTGCTCTCCTGTTCTAAACTATCCAACGAATCTCAAGCCACCAAGTGAAAAATTAGCCTCACTGTTATATTAATTAGCATCTGAAAGGCAGATTTTAAAATGTGTCAACCCTTTCAAAGAGTTAAATATGCTTAAGTTAAAAATCAGGCAGCCAGGGCCTAATTTGAGAGAATACTGCTATGGCAACATTATGCAGCCTTATCACAATTTATAGTGAGGGATAAATTATGCTGGAGGTAATCATGCTTGTAAAATGTAATCTTATCCATATGTGTTGCTGTATGGAAAAATATTTGTGTTTTTATTTTAATTTTTTCTTTTATACTGATCCCATAAAACACAATATTAGCATTCCAGAGGAAAGATTAAATGTGTTATTACATCTTTAAAGTAGGTTTTAATGATGTAGTGACTTAGTTAAAAAATACCAAGGAAAGATGGTGATAGTAATTAAGTACCATTTCATTGTGTTGGAAGTCTTTTTATTGTCAGTGCATTTACACAGCTTTTTATGCATTCAGGGTGCACTTTATAGGACAGAAGGGTACAAAATGATTTTTTTCTTCCTTGCTTCATTTTTGCAGTGCGAAGGAAGAGAAGAATTGCAGTTGTGCAACCAGAAAAGCAGTAAGTTTTTGTTATTTAAGGTGGTATTTTTACAGGAATGCATCAGGTCTTCCGGGGGGGATAATACACAGCAGCTATGTGGCTCAGCTAACTTCTGTCCAGACACTGCAGCACAGTCGACAAGAGGATTCTTTTAAATCCAATATATTTGCTAGAAAGTCTCTGTAACAGAAATTGTTTTACTGGTTGGGTCTTTGCAGCCTGTGTCTGATGGCCAGTAAGGGATTCTTAGGGAAGATGGACATGTACCAGGAGGGCATTTCCCTATCTATCCCTTCCAGTTTGTAGAAACTGGAATTTAAGGAGTTTAAGTGAGAATATTTTCAGCCTGCAGGGCTAAAGCTCACAGATCAGAGTATATTTTTGGAGGAGGGGTGGATCAGGCTCCTTCTTCTGCAATACCCTGGCCCTGGGCTGTGATAAACCATGTGGAAGTGGGGTTGTGTTTGAAGTATCTCCATTCCTTGCCCCCAGGCAGGTGCTGGTCTATCTTTTGGTCAATCCTGAAGGCTGGTTCTGCCCTTTTGTCCTGTCTGACACTTTTAATGACACCAAAATTGCTCTTTGACAGGTTACCATCCACAGTGCCTGTTGAGAAAATACCTCATGACCTCTGCCCGGTTCCTCAGCCAGACACAACAGGTAAGGCCCTTATTTCAAGGACCCATTACCTGTGTGGAGGGGGATGACCCCAAAAAGGGAGAGAGCTGTCCTATGGGTGGGGAGATGGAACCACATCCTCTGGGGGTTTAAAGTGGTGTAAACCCACCAACAGTGCATGATGAACAGCAGGTGAGGATCTGGTCCTCCAGAGTGAGCACTGTGTCTTGCTGGGGCTGTCAGAGTTCCCCTGGAGCTTGCTCATTTCAGCTGAATGATGTTAGGGCCAGGCTGATGAAACCCTGGTGGAGATGGATGTGACTTGTTAATTGGCATCAGTGAAATTGTGTACACCAGGCCTCAATGGGTCCCTGTGTTGGCATCAGGACTGTGTGGCATGGCTGCTGCAAAGTTTTCTCCCCTTTAGCAATGGCAGGAGGCTCTGAGAGTGCAATATTCATCCAGCTAATGGTGCAGACTCAGCAGGAGGGGCAAGATTTAACTCGCTTTTTTTTTCAGCAGGCTGTGGGACACACGTTGGCATTGGAGCCAACATCCCAGGCCCTGTTACAATCAAACGGGGATGAAAGGGTCTTTTTGGGTATGGTAGCCAAAGGAGTGGATAACCACTTGGATGGCACATGAATAACATCTAAAAGTGCCTGTTTCTCTCCATGGGCTATAAAGGAGCCAATTGTGATTAGCCCAGACAAGGAAAACTGCTCTGTATACCCATGGTGGATCAGGGGAATGGCACTGCGTTGGACAGTAGCTGAAGAGGGGTTTCTAGGGCTTTCCACATGGATGTTCTCCCTGAGCTGATTCCCTGTCTTTGAGAGTCAGCTCGTACGTCCCCTTTCAGGCAGGTTGCAACTGGGTTGCTCATGTCCATCTGCAACGAGAGTTATGAAAGAGCAGTGAGTCCTGTCATGAATGAAATCCTTTCCCCATTCTCCTTTCAGCAGGGAGTGCAGCCAAATCAGTCACTATTAAAAACATTTGCTTTTCCCCTGTTGGACAGATTTGAGTAGCGGGGGCTTCCCTACCCTCTGTCCCAGGGAAGAATTCTGTGCCCTCTCTACTCTTCTCCCCTCCTTCCCACATCTAGGAGGAGGAGGTGCTCTTGATTTATCATACAACAGTGCAACAGGCACATCAATGCTACTTTCTCCTTGCAGGCACCATCAATGGGAGATACTGCTGCCCCCAGCTCTACATCAACCACCGCTGCTTCTCAGGTCCATATTTAAACAAAGGCAGGATCGCAGAGCTACCTCAATCTGTGGGGCCTGGCAAGTGTGTGCTGGTCCTCAAGGAGGTATGGCTCAGCTGTCTTTTGGGGGGATCTCAGGGGAAAAGTACGGGCGTGGCTTGCCAGGCCCAGAATTCGGAAACAGTGCACCTAAAATTGTCCTGGAGCTCTGTAGTGGTTTCCATAAGGCAAAACTGCAAGGTGGGAATGCGGGGCAGGTATGTGCATGGTGGGTTTTGATGGGAGAGGTGAAGTTTTTGAAACATGGGGAATTGTGTTGGTTTGGGAGTAAGGTTTGTCTAACTGTGCAAGAGAATTCAGGTTCTGACCAGATCCATCCCCAAAGAGGACCTCTGTGGTTGTTGCCATCAGCCTGTTTCTCAGCATTCACAGTGCTGTTGGGCAGCAGATTCAGTGTGGGTGACCATGTGTGTGTGACCGTGGTCCAGTGGGGCCCAAAACATTGGGGAACAGGATGGAAAGCTAAGCAGGGGTGTGTGCTATGTGCTGATTTCATCCTGACCCAGTCAGGGCTTGCTTTGGGACAAATCCGGAGTGCTGAGCACTTGCTGTTCACCTCAGAGAAAAGCTACCTGATTTGAAACAAATTCATAAGTATTTTCCACAAATATTGGTAGTCCATGCAGAGATGAAATGCAAGGTGAGTGCAGGTGGCAGAGGACAGGATGGTACTGTTGGATAAACAGAATTCCATTAGGCACCATTTCAGTTTGACTCGGGTCTTCCAGGAATCCAGATCATCCAGCTCTCAGTTCTGTACCTAAATAAACCCCACTTGATGTAGATGCAGGGGAATATCTGAGCTCCCTCTGCCCTTGGTGGAAAAACATGGAAACTTCCAAGAATCTGTTTATCTGATGTATTTGAAAGACCCTCAGTGCCTAGCTCAGGATGTTTGCAGTTGTCTGAAATTAGATGAATCCAGCCCTTAACAGGAATACCTGGAAGGTGAGATTCCTCCCAAATAAAACACCACTTTTGAAAACATCCAGTACTGTACTTCAGTGTGACTCCCATGTCTCCACTCAGTTCCTCGTCACCTGCACTAATTTACACACAAAAGCCCAGAAATCCAGCTGCCTGTGCAGGTGGAATGCTTGGGTCTCAGAGAAGCAAGTCAAAAACAGCCCTCAGCAGAAAGCAGGATAAAGTGGTTGCAGAGCAAGAGTTGACAGCTGCCAAATTTGAAAGCAAGTCCATCGTGGCTTGCTGATGGGGAGCATTAGCAATCTGCTGCTACTTGAAAAACAGGCCATGAAAAAGCAACATGGGGGAAAAACATGAAGCATGCACAGTCAATACTTATGCTAATGCTTCTTCCTCCTTTCCTCCTGGAATTTGGATTTTGAAAACATAAGTAGTGCAAAGCTTCTGCCAGGTCTCCTCCCTTGGTATTTCAGCCTTAGCTAACACCAAATTCTCCAAATTCCTCAAGAATGGGACTAACTGCCCACTGCAAAAACCAGCCTGAGCTTCCTACAGAACAGTCTATTTTCTCTTGCTCTGCCTCCTTACAGAATTGTTTGCTGAAGGAACAAATAGCAGTGTCATAGAGACATTGGACTCTTGTTTTTGGAGACATGAACAACTTCCCAAGGAACAGGACAATGGCAATGGCCCAGCATTGATCAGTGTTATTTTGCAGATAAATTCAAGCTTATTAATGACCTTAAGCTCATTCTGGCCATGGGAACCAGTTCCAAATTCTGGAAAGGGTGAAGAGAAGGAATTCATGGTGTTTCTGTAGGGGAGATACACCTGACTCCTGTCAGCTGTTGCTGAGATAAGAGAGGTGCCAGAAGCTCAGAGAACTGTGAGCAGTGGGGAGGATGTGGGTACCCAGCACATGGAGCAGGCAAGAAATGGCAAAGAATACATCCCTGCATTGAGATGATGTTCTGTAACAGATGCCAGAGCGCCCAGAAGGACTGTGGAGCTGAGTGGTGAGAGCAGTGCAGGAGGTACCTCCTCCAGCCCAAGGCTGTAAATGTGAGGGTTTGCACAGCCAAGGAGCTCACAAGGGTCCCCATCCCTCCAGACACAGTCTTGGTGCTGAGCTTGATGCTTTGGTTTTTCTTTACACCTGCTGATGGTGTGTCCCCAAGACTACAAAAGCTTTATAATTATCTTTCTCATTATATAGGAAAATTGCAAGCTGTTGTAAATTATGCATCAGCATAACTTGTCTGGAATAGATAAATTATAGATGGGCTTTACTTTGGCAACACATGGGGGAGGGTGGGAAAGACAACTCAAAACACAGCTGTGAAAGGGGAACTGAAGCAGTAGCAGCCTGATGAGAACCTCTTTAATCACCCTGATCTCCAGCCATAACTCAGTGCCTTTAGAGCTACTCTGGTTAAAAAACCTGTGCTGTTTGCCAGCCAGTTCACTGTGGGCAGCAGTGTCTGTGATGGAGATGTTTCTGTGTTCGAGACTGATAGAAAGCCTGGACTAAAACCAGCTGAACACCCAACTCCTGCCCCATTCCCCATCCTGGATTACCTGAAGCAAGAAGGTACCAGGTCCTCTCTGGCATTAGTTGATGGGAGACCTTGCTCCTGGCTGGGTGCTGAGGGAGTAGCTCCCCATCCTCTGCCTTCCTCCACACTCAACCCTGGGGGCTGTATCCAGAAATTCAACACAGCTGTAGTTCATGATGCTCTTCAGCCCTCCTTTCCCACAAGATCTTGTCCTTACCTCCATCACTGATGCAGTGAAGCATCACCCTGTGTGTACTCTTGCATCCCTGCAAAGCCTTAGGCACGCAACAAGTAGCTCTTGTGCTGTTTAGTGCCAAATTTATTTTTAAAGCCTAAGCTGTTCATTATTCCCAGTGCCAGCACAAGTTTCTGCTGGGACCAGTGGTTTATTGTGGTTTCTTTCACTGTAAGAGGCAAGTGAGTTGGTAATGCCTGTTGTTTGACATCAACTGCAAAATTTTTCTCATTCCTGAGATATTTTCTTGGAAAAGAAGTTGAAACTTGGAGCCAAATACAGTGGAGACATCAGCTATTGCCATCCAGCAATTGCACCTGGGCTGAAAAGTGGTGACTGTAAAGTAGCTGTGGTATGCAATGAATGCTGACTTTAAGTTAAATTAAACACATTGTCAGCTTTAGATTTAGTTTCTTGGGTCAGAACATCTAAAAAACACTTAAGAACAGTTTGTCCGTCTACGCCAGCAGCTCCACAGCAACATTGTAAAATGGAATGAGGTGTCTTTTTAAGACTCCAGATGATCTATAACCCACCATATTTTAGAGAAATATGCTGTAAAGATTAATTAGCCTCATTGCATACTGCTCTTACTATTTTGGTCTTTCTCTGTTTAAAAAGAAAATGGACTTAAATGTAATGTGTCTGTCCAAGTGATGCAAACAGGAGAAATCAGCTAGCATTTGTGAAGAAAGGCTTATTGCACTCTGCAACTTGCACTTTTTGTAGCACAGCATGACTTCTTAGGAGAAATTTGCATAATTAAATCATGGTGCTCAGAAAATTAAATAGCTTGCACTGAGCCTTAGGTATATGATTTAGCCAGGCTGATAGAGTTATCATTACTGACCAGATATTGGAATGACAGAAACCTCTAAAGTCTGGAAAGGTATAAACTGCATTTCTACAAGAGGGTTCACTAACATCCTCCTCAAGACAGCTCTGTGGACTTCAGCTTGTCTGTAATAGTTCCTCCAAGTTAGGATCTACCATCTGTATCTTTGAATGTCATGGACTACCCTAAGCATGTCAACACTTCTGTGCTACAGCTTTGACTGTGACAAAAGATGGCTTTTAGATCCTTGATCACCTAATGAAAGAATCCCAAATAGTTCATTTTCCTTTCTCTTTCTGTGCCCCATCAGTATTCCAAGTAAAATAAAATAAAGTTTACTGTCCTGCCTTGAGCCTGGGACTTAGCATCCCACTTGTTAGGTAACTGTGGGCTTATATCTCAGATAGAGGAGGGAAATTGAGCTTCTCCTCCTAAGGATGCTGATCTTTGGGACCTTGAACGGGACAAAAGAGGTTGTGATGGTATTTTGAGCTGCACCTTGTCAGTGATAACTCCTGAGAAAACTTCATCCAGGGTTGGGACCATTTAAAGCAGGGTAAAGATAGAAAATGTGTGAATACCAAAGAGATATAATGGGAAGAAAAGTGCTGAACTTCCCAGTGGCATTAGGCATGTCTGGATATGCTCAGAAAAGAGCCCTAGTGCATGAGAAAATACATGAACTGGAAAACTTCATTGCTAAGATGTCAGGTGCTTTTAAGGTTGGGTAGAGGCCTGTGGTGGTGCTGAGTGATCACAGTGATGTGACTCCATCCTCTGAAAATCCAAAGTTCAACAGTATCAAAATAAAACCTCATCTGTGCATAGCAGCAAAGGCTGGTATTGCCTTGTCCCCCACTCTGCTCCAAGGCACAATTGGCTGCACCCAAAGCATTCCTGATGGAGAGGGCTGAAAATAAACTACCAGAATCTCAGGCTGGTCCCCACTCCAGCCAAAGGGAGTTTGACCAGTCTGATATGGTTGACGTAACTTTCCATCTCCAGAGAAAGTCAGAAACTGGAAAGCTGGAAACTGATCTAGGTTTTGTCACTGTTTTTGTTTTAATAACTGTTAGTTTTTTCCAAGTATCTGTTTGTTTACATCTCTGTGTAATATGAAGCGATAATGTTGTTAGAAGGTAACATGGTAGAGAACTCTGTTGTAGGGTGAAATGCCAAATGCAGTAACTTATTTGAAGAAGAGTAAAAGGTAGAGGTTTTAAAAAACATTTTTTTTCTTCCCTGAAAGGGAAATAGTTGTTCTTGCAAAACACTCTTTTTTTTAAAACTGAGTTTGGAAGTTTACAGAGTCCTGCTGATGATAAGCCAGCTTTGAGAAAAGTCCTGGCATCACAGGTCCCTTTGCAGGGCTGGAATTGATTAGGATCTGGGATAATGCCCAGACATGGTCACACTGGTGTTGCAGAGTTGGGGTTTTTTTTCTTGCTCATTTCCTAACTATTCTGACAACTTATGCAAACACCCATCACCCTGGTAAAGGGGCAGGACAGCACTGTTTCCAGGAATTGGTCAGCAAGACACTTTCTGCTCCTGGCTATCCCACCAGCAAACAGGGTGGGTGTAGAAGTGGGCTCAAGAAGAGCTTTGCCAACAGGCTCCTGTGTAGTTGTTATATAACTCCATGGATTTGCTGATCAAGAGGGGAACACACCTGATGAGTTGTAAATGAGTGTGGGACCTACACAGGCACTTGGTGTTTTGAAAACTGACCTTTGGCTTCTCTACAGTGTCTGTGTGTCAGAGGGCAGTGCCCCATCAGTTCTTTTGGTGGGAGACAGGCAAGAAAAGATGTGGATGAGCAACTGGATGGGCTCACTCTGGAGCTTTCTTCACAGAGTTCTAGAATGGTTTGGATTGGAAGGAACCTTAAAGATTCTCTAATTCTGACTCCCCTGTCCATTGGCAGGGACACCTTCCACTAGACCAGGTTGCTCCAAGCCCTGTCCAGCATTGAACACTTCAGGGATGAGGCTTCCACAGCTTCTCTGGACAGCCTGTTCCAGTGCCTCAGCACCTCACAGTAAAGAATTTCTTCCTGGTATCTGATCTAAACATGCCCTCTCTGTTTGAACCTTTGTCCTGTCACTCCATGCCCTTGTCAGAAGTCCCTCTCCAACTTTCTTGTAGCCCCTTCAGGTACTGGAAGATACTGTAAGGTCTACCTGAAGCCTTCTCCAGGCTAAACACCCCCAGCTCTCTGCCTGTCTCCCAAGCAGAGGTGCTCCAGCCCTTGGAGCATCTTCGTGGCCTCCTCTGGACTTGCTCCAGCATGCCCTTCATGCATTTGGGGTCCCAGAGCTGGATGCAGCCCTCCAAGTGGAGTCTCATGAGAGCAGAATCCCTTCCCTCACCTGCTGCCCATGCTCCTGGGGATGCAGCCAGGACACAATTGGCTTCCAGGGCTTACAGCTCACATTACCAGGTCATGCCAAGCTTCTCATACTGCAACGAGCTTCTCATCAACCATTCTCTTGGAATCATTGTGGCTTAGTAACTAGTGTAAAGGGTTGTGTGATGAAATAGGAACCAGCTGGAGAGCTGTAGGTAAATCTGTATTGTAACTTCCCCATGTGTGAGATAGGAATTGTGCTCCTGCTCTTCCTTATAGGGTGCTCTGAAATGTACAGATGACCAGAGCTGCATAAGATGTTGTTGCTATTATTAGGCATGACTTTGGTGTCTCTAATTGTACTTTCTTGAAGAGTGGTTTGAGTAATGTTTCCTAGGGCCCCAAGGATAGATTAAATTTTGCTTTTGGTAAATAACCTATCCAAGCAATTCCAACTAATGCCATTTTACAGGGTACTGAGCAGCATTAAGTGAAGCCCTTACCTGGAAACGATTAATCCTATAGGGTTTTCAAAATGTTAGCAAATCTTCAGGTTGCTGGATTTAAAGAAAAAAAAATCAACCCAAAGGAAAAAAGACAAAACCCAAACATAAACACATTGGTCTTTGCAGCATGACCTAGTTATTTTTTCATTTCTGATGAACTGCGTTCATGGGTGCTGGGGAAACTTTTAAGATGTTAATCATACTGAAATCATTTGCAGGCCCCCAAAGAATTAAGAACAGGCATTAGGTAAAGAGCTAAATTAGATGAAAACCAATCCAGACTCACTGTGGAGTCATTCATGTGCACACAATTCAGAGTGTTCAAACACACGGTCTGGTGCTGTTCAGAGATTTGTTTTTCTTGTGTTTATCTCCCTAGGCCAAGCGTAGACTATTAAAGCTTGGATTCCCTGAGCCAATAGAAGGAATCATTTTTATTCTCAGTGACTTTGGATTAAATGGATTGGCACATGTGTTTTGTTGTACAGAGTGGACACACACTGGGTTTCAGGCACACCTCCTGCAAACTCTTTTTGTGTAGACTTCATTAATATTCTGCTAATACAGTCAAGGCACACAGCACTCAGGCATTTAAGCATATTGCTGACCTCAAGTATGTGAATTTCCCCTTCAGTGTTCAGTGTATGGTGGTGCACTGACACTGTACCTGGTTGTGCCTTCAGAACTATTTTCATTTTTTTTTTTATTAAATGGAGCCACTACAGATGCAACAAATGGAATCTACTTTGGGAGAGAGTGTCTGTCTCTCCACAAGAGAGACAAAAATTACTGATGAGCAAGAGGTTTTTGGGGTTAGCTGGCATCATTTAATGCACTTACCATATCAGACTCAGGTGTCACCTACAATACACATTGATCCACTCTGAGACCTCTACTCATTGCAGCCAGCAGTTACCTTGTGCAGTTTTGGACACAAATAGGGACCTGTAAGCTGCTCCTGCCTGTGCAGCACCTGGGACCATATTCAGTGTGGTCAAGGACTGCTTTTAGACCCATCAGTGTTGTTGGTTTTGTCTCTCAATAGGTTCTCAGCATGGTGATCAATGCAGCTTACAAGCCAGGGAGTGTTTTACGAGAACTGCAGCTAGTGGAAGACCCTCAGTGGAATTTCCAAGAGGAAACACTTAAAGCAAAGTAAGTCTTCACTGTGTGTTCTTTTTATTTGGGAGGTTTCAAAAATGGAACTGACTAAGAAGAAAAGAAAAGGAGAGAAGAAAAGATTTTTTTTTCTATTGTGAGAGTTTTACTTTTTAAATTATCTTTTTGCTTCATTGAATTATTTGATTCTTTCTATAGCAACTTCAGAAATGAAATATTCACCTGAATGGTTCATTTCTATTGTCTTTCTCCAAGCAGCCATCCATTTTTTGATGAAGTGAAGTCCTGAGTTTTATGATAAGCTGTTCTTATAAGCTTGGCTATTACTGAATTAACTCAATTCCTGGCTTTCTAAATGTAGGAGTGTTACTGTTTTTAATATAGAACCTGTCAGGCTAATGCAGAAAAAACTGGTGAGAATGAATGGTACAAAAAAAAGTTCAGACAAATTAGCAGGGGCACGTTTTTTAGCAGGAGGCTGATTGGGACAAAATAGTAGCAAATTGGAGATTCAGGTCAAGATTTGATGCCTTTCTAGAATATGTGTCTAGTAAATACTCAATTTCTCTTTCCAACTTTAAAATCTACTCATTTATGTCTTCTTTATTTAATGGATATAGTTAGGATGTATTTCACTTACTATTGTCTCTCTAAAAGAGGGGAGTCTCACCTCAGCTCTCTCCAGAGTCCCTCTGAAGAGCAATTCTTCCCACTTTAAGATGGATGTCAACAAACAGTTCTTTGAAAACAGCTCTCTTCCTTGACTAATGGTCACCTTGACTTTCTGAGTACTGAAGTTAAATGCAGCGAAGCTCACCCTTTGTGCTGAACTCTGTTACTCCTTTTCAAAGAAAAGCAATTTTCTTTTGGTTATTAGAAATGATTGGCTGCCACATACAGCACTATTGATTGCTGTTGTATTTGATCTTGGCCCATGCAGATACTCTAGAAAGTTCATGTATTCTCTGTTTGAGGGAGAGAATTCAGAACCTTTTATTCTGCATACTCTTAAACTGCTTTTGTGAAGGAGGAGTGCAAATAGAAATGAAAAGCTACTAGAAAATCTCATTTTTAATTTACTGCTTTCACCCGTGTATAAAGTCATGCTTTTGTGTTTGTCAATTAAAATGTTGTGGATGGAAATCTAAAAGCCAACCTTGCTCATGCAGATTTTCATAAAAAAACAGGTCCATGACCTGGTTTCCACTGATTCCAGGCTTCCACACCTTGTACTGCCAAACTTAAGATAATGCACTCTACAGGTACATAGGACAGGTACTTACACACCTACAGCTCAGATCAGGTTGTAATGCCCCATCTTAATATCCTGTTCTGCAGAGAACTGAGCTCATAGGCAGTTTTCCAATTAGCAATATCCAAAAGTAGGATTTACCTTGTGCAAAAGCAGAAGTATCTATTTCTTAAGGCTGCTGCAATCCATATTTTTAATTGGAGACAGCCTGGAAAGTGTTTTACTGTTAATCCTTGATAGTCAGCTACGTCTACAGCTCAATCCACTGCAACCCCCAGCATCCTGCTGAGTCCAAGTGTGCTTAGACCAGGAGGAACAACTCAGCTGGGAAAACATGGGCTGCTGGAGATTGTCATCACTTGTTTGTATCATGTTAACCCCTTACCCTCCTTCACTGATAACCTGATGTGCTAATCATAGTCATGAGCACCTCCATCTCTGTTACTTTATTCCGTCATGCTTTTGCCCATCCTTTCCTGTGTCTGTTTCCTCCTCCCATCTACTCAGCAGGACAGCCAGGCTGCTGGGATACTTCTTATATCTAAATAGCTGCCAGATAAAAGCAGCAAGAAGATTCGGTGTTTTATGTTGGCCAGCCAGTCCCAGGCTGTGTATGTGTTCCTGTGTGCTGGCTACTCCAGGAAGCAGCAACCTCAGCTCCTCAGTGAGTGAGGCAGCATCTTTCAACTTTATTAAGCCACAGAATGGATCATTGCAGGCTCAGAGCTGGGACAGCAAGTTTTGAAGTGACTTCTGAGAATGGCAATGTATTCCCATCCAGCGTGGCTCCTGAGGAGACAGAGCTCATGGGGCTGGACAGCACCTTGTTCCTGCAGCTGTCTGGCTTCTGTGGCTGTAGCTCTCCCCACTGAGCAGTGCTTGGTGGCCATGCCAGCTTGCCCATGGGTAGTTTGGGTACTTCTAGGAGTGGATGACAGCGGGTTGATATGCTCCAAGACTGTCTGGCTGCCCTAGGACTTCCTGAGTTTGCTTGAGTTGCTTCGTCAAGAAGTTTTAATTGCATTTGATTGTTCAGGAGCAGAAAATAAAACATGGTCATGAAATCAGACACTGTGGAATATACAGAGGGCACATGACACGTTACATCAGGTGCGACAGTCAGTTACGCTCCAGAAGCTTAAACAGAGACCTGTAATGAGCCTGTGTATCCCAAATTCCAGCTACACGGGCTTCTGATGGTGCCTCGCTGCTAATGATGACAGTTCTACAGCTGGAGCAGCGCTGCTGTCGTGTGACATGTCATGTCACCTCCTTCCTTCTGATGGGAACTGACACCTCCTTGGATGTCAGCAATGTTGTTGTTTGTTTGCAGTGACGGCGCAGTGGGGTAGAGCAAAGGGGAGGGAGGAGGGTGGTGAGGAGAAGAGAAGGCTGTTTTTCCCACTGGCCCAAATGCCAAATGATGCCCTGCCAGGAATGCATTATGTCAGTCCTGGGGCAGCCTGTGTTTGGTTTGCTCTGCCGTCTTCAGTGACCAGAGCAGAATCAATTACGCTCACCTTGCAAAGAAGATAAACAATTTAGATTGTCCAAAGGGATGTGTCTGCAATGTGTGAGGGCAGTCATTTCCCATCAGCGCTGCTGACTCTCCGTGAAAATAGTCAAACCTGATTTATTGGTGATGATGAGTAAGAAATGTCAGGCTTGATCCTCTGAATTCCCAGGAGGGCCAGCCAAAGCTGTAGGCATTCAGCCCTCATAGTTTTGGTGCTTTAAGTTCAGTGCCTACATCTAGATTTACCTTCCCAATTTTACATAAAATGCTTGAGGGACTTTATGCTTTTTAAGGGTTTTAATTTCTAAAGGCTGTAAGTGGGGCTGTTTGGACTTACATATTTTTGAAAGACTTTGGATACAAACAGTATGAGTGTACTGAGTCTTGTATGAAGCCCAGTTGATCAAAATAAGATATATGAGTGTTCCTGGACACCTCCACTAAATGGAATTTTGATTGCTGCTCAAATCCAGTAGCTGAACTCTAGGAATATTTACCCCTGTCCCAGACATCATTGCTTATTTATGAGGCTGCATTTCAAAGAAAGTCTCTTTACCTCAGATGTTTTAGAAGACTGCCTTTCACTTGTGATAGGTGATGTTGAGGTATTTGAAGTCTTCTTTGCCTCAGCCTTAGCTAGTAAGGGTTGCTTTCAAGCCTCCAAGGTCCCTGATCCTCTTTGAGGGAATGAAATGTTACCCATAGTAAATGGAAAAGTAAATACACTGGAAACTGGAAACTGGTTGTGCACAAGTGCATGGAACCACTTGGGGTGCAGCCAGCTCTGCCTGAGAGTAATGTCATTGCAAGGCCACTCACTGTTGTATTTGGAAGGATGAGGGAAGTTTTTTGATATCTGGGAAAAGGCAATCGTCACATCCCTTCTTGGGAAGGGCAAGAGGGAGAATCCAAGTCAGCACAGGCTGTCAGCCTAACATTCCTGAAAAGGTTATTAGGCAGATACTCTTGAAAGCCATTTCCAAGAGCATGCAGGACCAGTAGGTGACTGGCAAGTTGTGCCTGATGTGATGAGATGACTGGTTTGGTGGTTGAGGAAAAAATAGTGGAAATGAATTTATGTTCATTTTAGCAAGACTTTCCACACAGTCTCTGACAGTGGCAGATAAAGATTGAATGTGTGTGTGATGAGTGGAGAGTTAACTGGACACAATCATTGACATGAAGTCCAGGTGGCAGCCAGTTAGTGATGGGTCTCCTCAAAGGTCAGTTCAAAGCTACAGCTTGTGTGATTTGGTTTCTCTTCCACACCAGCTCTGCCTCTGAAGCACTGCGAGGAGGAATTAATGTGACCAGGTGGCCTTCTGTGCCAAGTACTGGAGGTAGAAGTCATTAGGACCAGTGGAATGACTTAGACCCTTTATTTCAGGAGGAGACTTATGAAACGTGCCCTTAAAACCAGAGCATTCCAGTTCCCTTTCTGAATCCTGTCTTCAGGAGTTCAGAGTGTCACTGGGTGATTAAGTAGCTCTGAAGGAAGTTTCTTCTTATGTCTGGTGGACTTTCAGGTAGTAAGACAAATGCAAATTTCTTGCAAAAGAGTAGACAGGAGGTTTTGGTCTCCCCAAGGGAAATTGAGACTTTTAGCTCCTGAGTTGTTCAAATTAGTCTCAAGAACTGTCAGAACTCCTTAGAATGGGACTTTTGAAAATGAGGGTAATCTCAGTGTTCTTGCTGTTTGAAGTGTCTTCAGCACAAGACTTTTTGTGCCATCACGCAACAGTCCTGAAGAGGAGCTCCTGGAAGACATTGTGTTCTCATGAACCTCTGATCTGTTTTAGCACAAAAGAAAACTTCAACAGATGAATGATGTTGCAGAAAAAATGCTGCTTGTTTAATAATTTCACTTGTGGGTCAGCAAAGATCCCAAGTGTACTTTTCATGGAAATAGTTTCAGCCGTAGGGTTTTCTCCAATTTTGGGATCTGAGGGCAGAGAAAGAGAGAAGGAAGATTTCTTTGGTTTTAGCTGAAAAATAATTTTTTAAAAGAACAGTGATTTCTAAGAAAATTGAAAATACTGTCCTTGGCACAGCAGTTTTCCAAGTCTCCATTGCTGCCATGCTGTGTGTGCAGATTACTTGGTAGTTACAAGTGGTTGGGATGATAGGAGTCCTGGTATAAAAACATCCATAGGAGTATCAGAAGTCGGTAATTTTTTGAGAGATGCTAGTGGAAAAGGGTTTTCTGATTATATCCAAATGAGCTCCTTCCACGTGGCTGTCCTAGAACAGCTCAGATTACATTTGGTGGTGCTTGTGTTAAAAATCTTCAGTGTGTGAGAAATATGGAAAATATTAGTAGAACCTGGTTTATAGTTGAAAGAGGGGCTGCCAAGGCCAAAATTATGTAAAAAATATTACTGTGGCCAGTACTAACACCTTGGGTTATTGAGACTGATTGCTGCAGTCATGGTGATCTCCATTTACCATCCGTTCTGTTAATTAACATGTGTGTTGCATTCAAAGCAGACTATAAAATCAGTCAGTTGTTCATTTTCCTGGTTTCATCTTTTCCTTTCAGCAGGCTCTGTAGTACAATGGGTCCTTTCTGGGCAGGCAAACACAATAGGAAGCACACAGTTAGAAAAAGTCAGCCATCCTTGAATAATACCCATCAGGCAGCTTTCTTAGCTTGTAAGAAAGAAGATCAAGAGGCAATTTGATTATAGCGCGTTTGCAAGGAAACAAAACCAGACACAGTCTTTTCATCCCGGTAGTGAAAGTCAGAACAAGGACAAATAAATGTAAGTTTAGTTCAGACGCATCCAGACCTAAAATGAGCTGTAAGCACATGAGTTATAGGCACGGGTGCTCCCTCTACCAGGTTTCTTCCAGTGTGGAGACCCTTGAGGGGAGGCCACTGCTTGTCTGGAAGTGATGGTTTATTCCAACCAAAGTTATTTGGGTTGAGGTGAAGGTATTACGGTGAAATTCTGCAGCCTGTCACAAGAGTCTGGCTTACTGACCCAGTGCTCTGGGCTGTTGTTAAACCTAATGGCTCCTGGAGAAGTAATAAGGGCAGGAGTCTCTTCAAACACGTTGGAAAGAAATATAAAACATTTTTAAGTAGATATATTCAAATGGCTGTGGAATCTGATCTTTTGATATTAAGTATTGCCAAGCTCTCTTTAGCCAGCCTGCCTGTGCAGCTGTTTTATAGGGAAGCTGGGATAACAGTGCTCTGTACCTGGAAGGAACAGTTTTCCATTTTACAGCATCTGTCCAGGTCTCTGAAGGTGTGTGAAAAGTTGGCTCATTAAGTCATTCATTCGTTCATGAGAATGAATCAAGATTGTCTCCATGGCTTGAGGTCCTTGGTCAGGCACCAAATAGGATATCAGAGCCTGGCACCTCGTGGAAATGCTCATTCAGGTTATGGAAGAGTTTTTTTGTTGAGGTGATAGTTTGGACTGAGTCTTTTGTGATGTGAGGGTGGGTAGACTGGGCTGTTCTCAGACCCAAGTTTCATTTGGGTTCCCTTTATAACACTTTCTGTACCGCAGTTTCAAACCCTTTTCCCACAGCCCACTGTTTCCAGAAAGAGCTGCTGGGAGGGAGCGCAGCAAAAGGTGGTGTTCCAGTTGCTTTGTGTGACCCAATGAAACCTTCAGAGAGGGAGTGGAGTGTGGGCACATGCTGCATATTTTAATGCTCAGGCCACAGCACTGTTGCACCACCACCTCCTTTTCCTCTTCCATATCTGACTATCACCAGCTGATTCCCTGCTAGGAATTTATGGATCTGAACACACTCCAAAATGCTTTGTCTCGTTCTTTCCTGACGACTGTATCTCTGTTTTTCCTTGCCTCCCATTCAGTAATCTTTCTTTTGCTGTCTCTCCCTCTTTTTCTTTCGTGTGTGTCACTTTTCTCTTCCCTGGGCACATTTATAATGCCGTGGCACCAGGCGCTCGCATGATTGTCTCTTGTGTTGCATTCCCCAGGACGTGTAAGAGATGTTTTAAAAACCTTATCTCACTGTTTACGATAGCTTGGTGCTGCTGTTTAATAAATTATGGGGATAATTGGTTTTTCAGAGTTCACATCTACAGTGTAGTACAGCAGGGGTGTAACTGTATCTTTCTTAGCCATTTATCGCTCAGAAACACTTTGTATAAAACACCGAAATAAATGTTTTAGTAGCATAACAAATTTAAGACAAACCTTTCATTGCAGGTTCCTGCTCTGAGCATTCCCTGTAGGAGTCAGTTTTTAGGGCCTGTTGCTGCAGCCCCATTACACAGCTCCAGATATTCCTGGTGAGGTCCTTGGGTTCTGTGTTGTCCATATCTCAGAGTGCTGAAATCATCTGGACCCTGTGTGGCAGAGAGAACCATTTCACTCAGATACTTCCTCACAGTGTCCCAGTAGCCACAGATGGCCCAGTGAATCTGTGGGATTGTTGGGAGCTGGAGTGTCATATGGGAGCAAGAAAGATGGCAATGGAGAAGACCAAAAGTACCATCTCCAGTGCAGCCCAAACACAGGGTGCTGACCAGAAAGCTCTGCAAGGGCTGTAAGCATCTCATCATTGGTCAGTGTATGAAGAGAGACTACATCCTCTCCCAAAAACTTTGCATCACTTCATAATATGGGCTTGCTGTCCTGTGTAGGATCCTCCCCAAGCCTACTGAGTTTTTTTTCTATCTTTTGCCATATCTACAGACATACCCAGACTGCACATGCATTCCTTCCCGAATCATGTCCACACCTCTGATTTATTTCACCCTTTCCTTCTTCAAATCCATATGAAATGGAGCCACTGAAACAAACAGACCTATTCTGCCTGCCTTCCCAAGAGAGACACTCTCCCAAGGAAAGTCACTCCCCTAACAGAGGAAAGTTTGGTCTGGAGCATAAGAGGGTGTTGCTTGACTGGTAACATGGGTTTTTCACTCTTCTCTAGGTACAGAGGGAAGACTTACAGGGCAACTGTTAAGATTGTGCGGACGTCAGATCAGGTGGCAGATTTCTGCAGGAGGGTCTGTGCCAAGCTGGAGTGCTGCCCCAACCTGTTCAGCCCTGTGCTGGTGGCTGAAGTCTGCCCCGAGAACTGCTCCATTCACACTAAAACCAAGTACAGTGAGTACTGGCCAAAATGCTTCTTGGTGCCAGTTGGGAATCAGAGCAGTGGGAGACTGTGTGTGATGAAGAACAGGAGTTGTGCAATGCTGTTAATACTGGTATTACTGTGTAATATTGTTAATACTGATTAGGATTCATCTCGTCTAAGAGCAGTTATTTAATCCTGAACAGACCACCACATGTTCCTTTAATATTCTGTGCAGAGAAAACAGGCATCTCCAGGAAACCATCCATCTCACTCCACCCGAATGTATCTGTTTGAAAGTCATTAATTTTTGGAAGTCTTGAGTTTTCTTTATATCTAAAGTTAACATGAAGAGCACATAAAAGGAACCTGCAAGTAGTAAGATGAGATTTAAACTGCTATATCTGAGATGGCTTCGTTGGGTGAGATGAATACTGTCCAACTCAGTGAAGAGTTTTTGGCATATGCACCAGCACAGGCCACAGTCACAATGCTGAGGTGGTGGAAGGAGTTTGGGAGCATTAACTCTCTCTGCTCAGGGTGTTTAATATTTAAACATGTTCCTGCCCATACAGGAAGGCTGTTGTTAGGCATGTGTACAGCACTTCTTGTTGTCAATGTTACTGATATTATTGGCTCTTCAGGCAGGTCAGGAAATTGGAAGTGAGTGCTATCCTTCTTCTGCAAAGGCTGCAAAAAGCAATATGTTTGATTTAAAGCAATTATCTTCTGGTCAGTGGCAGAGTAGAAGGAGAAATGGGCTCAGGGAGATACTCAGATCACTTAGGATGGGTTTCTGTAGAAGTCTACACCTGAGCTAGACTCCTGCTGGTAGGAAATGGAGAGCTGGAGAGTGCAGTTGGGGGAGCTCCAGCTGGGATGGTCTCATCTCAAAGCTGATGGTGGTATGTGGCTGCATGAATTGTTCCTCAAAACTCCACTGATTTGATGAACAACTTGGTCAGTTATAAACTTTGACATGGGTGCCAAGTGCCGTTTTAGCTGTCCTGGGATACCCTGGCTGGTCAGGGGCAGAGTATCTTTCACCCCCAGAGCATGTCAAAATGCATTTAACACAAGCACTCAGTGTAAGGTCAGAGGACTCCTACATCCTTAATTTCAACTTGGGCCACAAAATAGTTGAAGGCAATAAAAACCTGTTCCTTTGTGTGTGATTGAGGATTGCTGGCCCTGTCCACTTTCTGCCGAAAACATTAGCAAGTGAAAGTGTGTCTAAGGCTGTTAAATCACAAAGATCTGCATTGTATCAGATCTGAAACACACTGGCCTCTCTCCCTGCAAGTCGCTGGTTGACTTAGTGGAAGCTTTGCCTAAACACATATTGTTAAATTCTGAATTTTTCACTCATCGTCAATAAATCTGGATACACGAGAGCTGTAACACTCTGTGCTGGTCCAACATGACATCTTATATTTACACTGGACATTTTTTCCATATCAGTGTATTTCAAAGTGCACCTATAGAGTGCAGTCCTGAATCTGCAGCAAGAAGCACACCAAAGTTTCCTTCTTTTGGTGGTTAAAGCTTTTTATGGGCATTCTGCTTCATTTCTCCAGCTTATTACTATGGGAAGAGGAAAAAAATCATTAAGCCACCAATTGGGGAAAATAACAACGTGAAAAGTGGCCATGTCAAGCCAGCCAGACGCAGGAAAAGGCGGAAATCCATCTTTGTGCAGAAGAAAAGAAGATCATCAGCTGTTGATTCAAATGCTGCAGGCTCTGCAGAGGTATGTGTTGCACAGGGATAAATCAGCAGAAGCCCCTTGGTGCTTTTTTTTGTCCCTCATTCTGCATCTTCCTTATGTGGGGTTTCTCAGCACACCCAAACACTTCCATTTTCCTTATTTTCTATTTTGAATCCTTCCTTCTTTGCTACTCTGTTCTTCTAACATCAGACTGGTTTTATTGGGACACTTTGGGGATTTTTACCTTGTCCATTTTAGTTAGCAGACTCTAGATTTTTTGCTCCCACCTTCCTAATGCTCACTGACTAACATGCTGCCTAAATTATATCTTTGTTTTCTTTTGCTTCCTTGTAAGCAGGCAGATTAACCTGTTAGATGCTTTTTACAGCATCTACCAGATTCATGTCTAGGATGTCCAAATATTGTAATAAATAAAAATAGCTCACGAGCCATTGTGGTTTCAAGGAATTTTATTTTTTCATTAATTATTGGTAATATTTTTTGGCTCATAACATCAAACAATAGTAGCTCTAGAAGCTTTAGAATACAGACAAATGGTTTGTGTCCCAAATACAGGGTATTTGAGGCCTCAGTATGTTGTGTGATACAACAGGATCTCAACTTCAGCAATGATTTGTGTCCAAATACAGTCTGGAGCAGAATTAGTTCTATGTGGATTGTTTCTGGGTGTTTTTCCCGTGATAGGAATAACAAAGTTCATGTGTGGTTTCCCTTCCTCAGCTGAGTACCAGTGAATGCAGCTTTGTGCAATGTGAAATAAAGCTGATTTACCTCAATTCCCTCTACTTGGGCTGGAGGGGGTCATTTTACTCAACTTTCAGCTGATTGCTTGCATCTTCATGGCTTGGTCCTCATTTAGTTGTAGTTCTGCTTCATTTCCTCAGATTATACCTGCTTCAAAGGAATTTAAACTTAAGCCTAAATCAACCATTACCCAAGTTTTTCAACCTGTCAGCTGATACAACTGTCTTTGTCTAAAACTGCTCTTTCACTCAAGACCTGAGCATGTGGCTTGGATGCATGCTCACACTTTGATCAGAGCTAAGCTGTCGAAGCCATTTGGGCAGTGGATGTATATATAAAGTCAAAAATGCACAGTTTCCATCAGTTGGTGTGTGCTTGCAAGCTCTGTGTGACAGAAATAACGAGAAGCTGGTTTAATATCCTTTAAATGGAAATTTTTGCTTCCCCTTCAGCAGTTAGGTGTTGGTCTGAAAGCGGGGAAATCTGGGTGAATTCTTCTCCTCTGGGTTTTACAGAAATTGTCAGCTAAGAAATCAAGTACTTGATTTAGTACTTGTACATCTAGATGTTTTTAAATGGCACCAAAATTTCCTTCCTTTCAATACTAGTAACACCCACGACACTTTGAAGCAATGTGAAGGTATAAATTTCAGCCTATTTCTGATCTTATTTCATCTCGAGCAACCTGAGTTTCATTTTATCCCTTTAGAATTTTCCATTTCCCCTTCTCCTGCTCATCTGCAGTGCCACGGGTTTTGAGGTACCAGCCCAACAGAGGAACATTTCATGCCAGATGAGTTATTGCTGTTGACCTTTAGTTGGAAGGAGAAAAAGGATTTTCCGTCGAGCATTTTTTTTCCGTCTACATTTCGTAACAAATCTAAGTCAAGGGCTAATTTACTTAGCACTGTAATGAAAATGAGGTAATTGGGTTACAGTAAATGTTACCCTGGACCAGCGTGGTCACGGGGATGTAGTTTGACCCAGTGCCTTTTGGTTTGCTGCTGGATTAATCTCCGAGCCTGGGTACTGTTTCTCTGGCGCAGGAGAGCGAAGATGACGAGCCGGACGCGATGGAGGATGAGACGGGAAGTGAGGAGACCAGCTCGGAGCTCCGGGATGACCAGACGGACACGTCCTCGGCCGAGGTGCCCTCGGCCAGGCCCCGGCGAGCCGTCACCCTGCGGAGCAGCACCGAGTCGGACAGACCCCCCGCCACGGAGAGGGCCCGGCGGAGCCGGAGACCACAGCCCCACTCCTACAGCGAGGCAGAGAAGGGCTCACAGGTCAAGGAAGTGAGTGTGTGTTCATAGGCTTCAGCCCCAATTAGTAGCAGTATTCTTCCTAAATTACCTGGCGCAGAATCACAGAATATGCTGAGTTGGAAGAGATCCACAGGGATCATCGAATCCAACCCTTAGCACTGCACAGGACATCCCAAGAGTCACACCATGTGCCTGAGAGGATCATCCAAATGCTTCTTGAGCTCTGTCAGCCTTGGTGCTGTAAACACTGCCCTGGGGAGCCTGTTCAGTGCCTGACCACCCTCTGGGGGAAGAGCCTTTTCCTAATATCCAACCTAACCCTGCTCTGGCACAACTTCAGGCCATTCCCTGGGGTCCTGTCCCTCGTCCCCACAGAGCAGAGATCAGTGCCTGCTCCTCCTCTTCCCTTCCCAAGGAAGTTGAAACTGCAGTGAAGTCTCCCCTCAGTCTCTTCTTCTCCAGCTGAACACACCAGATGCCCTCAGCCACTCCTCACACACTTCCCCTCAAGGCCCTTCGCCATCCTCGTTGCCCTCCTTTGGACACTCTCTAAGAGCTTAATATCTTTCTTAATGTTGCAGTGACCAAAACTGCGACAATATTCAAGGTGAGGCCACACCAGTGCAGTGCCAAACCTTCCTCATCTGAGGAGGGCAGCCCTGGTTCTCCACACAAGGTAGTTTGCTTTGTAAAAGCTTTTGGTTTTTTTCATTTGCAGGAAATTAAGCAAGAAGAGGAAGAGAAGCTTGTCCTGGACAGTAACCCATTGGAGTGGACTGTGACAGATGTTGTGAGGTTCATTAAACTCACTGACTGCGCACCCCTTGCCAAAATATTTCAGGAGCAGGTAGAAGTCTTTACGTAACTTGTCTTTTTGTATCTGTGGTGTCTGTTCAAATCACAGCACATACCACCTTGATAGCTGGGCCTAGGCCTTTGATAAAGGTCTTATGACCAAACTTTAGATCTCTTCAGGCCATGTTATAGCACAGATTTTGGCAAGGCATGAAAACCCTTAGAAACTGGAGTCAGATCCTTGCCAGATCCTCAGAGAGACCAGAAACTCAGTAGCCTGAGTCCTGAGCAGGTTTAGACATTTCATGCCAAGGTTCACAGTGCCATTCTGGTATCACATAGGTAAGCACCTCGGTGTAAAACAGGTAGTGGTTATCTGGTACATTGCAAACTTTCTCCTGGCCACATGGGTTCCACTCTGTTTTAAATTATTTACCTGGGAAGCAGAAAAATGCTGCTTGAACCCAAAACTGGCCTGAATTTTTTCGTTAACACCTAGATGCCTTGAGTATGTAGACATCTAATTGTTATCTACATTCCTCTGAAGATTTTCCAGTCAGGCCCTTGGATGACCTGATTTTAGGAGATGCCAGTCATCTCCCCATTAAGCAGAAAGGTTTGCAGGAGCAGAAGCCAATACTCTTCATCTCAAGCCAGTGTGAATGGGTAAAATTTATATGGAAAGAGCTGTTTTTTGGCTAATGAATAGCAGCCACTGCTAAAAATGAAGGGCAGCGCTAGCAAATCATAGTTAGGAAGAAGCAAGTGTGGCTAATTAGGCCATGGCTGATGGCAGTCAGTGGTGTGGCCAACTGCACATTGAACTGTCTCTGATTCTTCACCAAGAATAACTCTGTACCTGAGGCAGCTGCCTCGACTGGGAGAAGGTGAAGTGTGAGTCTAGAGCAAGGCTGGAACTCTCCATAGCAGGATGGTCTAGTCACTGTGTCACAATGTGCTCCAACCATTTGTTAATAATCCTGGAATAACGCCAGGGCTTGAAAACCAACCATTCCTCTTCTTTGCCAGAGAGTTTTATAAGGACTTTAATCAAACACACATGACTGGAGCTTTTCCTTGTGAAGCTCTGGTGCAATAGGCCATGCCATGAAGCTTGAGTGGAGGAAGAACCTTAGCCATGGACAATCTTGATCAAAGCAGCACTTAAACTGTCCAGATCCTCCTTATGTGCAATTCTGACTAATCGGGGCTGTCCTGGGGAGTTTATGTGAGTTGCTGTGCATAGACTCTGATCCTCCCTAAGGAGTAAAAAGAAGTTTTGTAGCCTGCTTGTCTGCTTCTCAGTCCTTTAAAGAATAAAGACGACCTGAGCTTCTTAATTAAGAAGGGGGTCATAAAGCCAGGAGTAGTCCCCAGTAAAGTTGCTCATCTGGGGTGCTAGCTCATGGAATTTGGTGCATAGGGAAAGACATGACCTCCAGAGGTCCCTTCCAGTCTACACCATTTTGGGACACTGGAAGTTGCAAGGGCTTCAGGCAGTCCAGGCCCCTCTGTCTTGGTCATTCAGCAACTGAAGTGGAACAAGGCAGGTCCTGGGTGGATTTGGGAACATGGCATGGAACAAGTCAGAAATAAACCAGTGCTGAGCAAATCATGGGCCAGAGGAGTTGGGGGAATGGTCTGACTTGGCAGAGGGACTGTCATCATTTTCTCCATTCAGCTGCCTCCTGTGTCTCTTGGTGTGCTCTCTGCAGGCTCCCCCCCATTTCAGTTCCTCAGGCATAAAATGGGACTGACCAGGTCTCCGTGGACCCTGCAGGGTTTCTTTAGAAGGTGATCCCTCATTTCAGCAGCTGGCAGGCTTTTCCAAAACTGGAAGGTGAAAGAGCCTATGAAGACACACTAGACAACTTCTGGAAAAGCATGATGAATCCCTGAGAAAGGAGGAGATGGGCAGCACTAAAGTGGGAGAAAAGGGCAGAGGACAACCTTTAATTTTTGGGGCAAACTTCCTTTCTTGCTTCTCCAAACTTGGTTATACTTTCTGCCCCAAGAGTCCACAAAAAAAGCCTCACATTTTCCCTGTCTTTTCTTTCCCAGGACATCGATGGCCAAGCCCTTCTGTTGCTGACACTGCCCACGGTGCAGGAGTGCATGGAGCTGAAGCTCGGTCCAGCCATCAAACTGTGCCACCAGATCGAGCGAGTAAAAGTTGCATTCTATGCACAATATGCCAACTGACTGCACTTCTCCACTGCTTTCTGTCCTTCCTCTTGTTCCCTCTCTTTTTTAACATTTCAACCTGTTCAAGGGGTGTTTTTTTTCCCCATATCCCTTTTCCAATAACACGCCGAATTGGAAGCACTGGGAATTAATCTGAAGGGGGAAAAAAAACCCAAACGTAAAGGAGAACTAGCAACAAATGGAACTAATTCTTCTGTACTTGTAAAGCACACCGAGAGACTGCTGGCACCCCTCCTCAGGAGCCTCACCAACCTGTCACCCAGTGGTGCAGGGCCAGCACGGATCAGATGGTTTGTTGTCCTTAAAACAAACCTACTCGTGGCAGACACATCCCCAGGAAGAAGGGTCAGACACTTCCAGATGGCGATGGTTTGTCTAAGCCAATTTCTGAACATGAACATTTATTTTGGCCAACTCTTGGCACACTTCTTTCATATTGAAATGTAAGTGATTGTTTGTAGCATTACCTGGGGTTTACTGCAGATTTGATCCTGGTGATCAATGGGCTTTGTTTTCTCCTGCCTCTCCAGTTTTACAAAAGGACAAAGTGTTACACCACTCATCAGCTGTGTTATTCCTGAGTGATTTGTGAAACAGAACTCAACCCATGGTCTCTACAGGATCAGACAAAGATGCAGCAAACTGGTGGGGGTGACACAAGACCTGGTGGCACATCCTGAGCCACGCTGGCTCTGCACAATAAGCTGAATGTCTCTGTGATGGGATCTGTACAATGCTCCATTCTTGTACAGGAACATGAAAGCTTTCATAGTCAAGCCCATCCTTTTAAATGCAAGTCAGTTCAAAGACCTGACTTTGAGTCCCACAGGGTGAAAAAAAAAAGGCTGTTCAGATTTAATGATGAGATTGTTGAGGGAATGCTGGTTTCATCTGCACCTTCATGAATCTGGTTGCGGAGAGGGAGTAAAAAGCATCAGTGTTTTCAGGCTGTGTAACCACAGTGTTTAAGATCCAATCAAACATGGTCTGTATTTAATGACTGGACCTGGTACTTAGTGCTGTGTTTTAATTGACAAGGTGGTGATCACTCAGAGGTTGGACTCAATAATCTTGAAGGTATTTTCCAACCTTAATGGTTCTACGTTTCTTTATAAAGCCCCCAGAGTGTCCAGTGCCACCTTGGCTAGTGAAACTGGGGGCTGGCTTCATACCAAGCAGGGTAAAACACCAGAGAGAGTGAGGAAATGGGTTGGACACCCTGGGTTTCTGGTTTTATCCCATTTACTTTGCAGGGATATATGACACCATCAGTCACACCTGTTGAGCATGAATTTTCTTTAACTCGGCAGAGGGTGGTGGCATCAGTGATGAGAAGTCCTCCCAAAAAGCCAAACTGGGATCGTGTCAGAATTTTGCTCTAACTTTAAGGTGCAAATGAATCCCACCCTCCAAAAGTGGTTCATGCTGTTTTAGCCTGTTTTCTTAGGAAACCACTGTCACTGTCAGACTTTTGTTCTCACGCCATAAACAGACCCCTGTTCCCTGGCCTCAGGGAAATCAGCTTGGAAATTATACACAGGTCTGTTACAGTGCCCTAATGCCAAAGCCCACTCAGTGAAAACCTCTTCAGAAGGAAATGTCACTTCTAGCCCTAAATCTGAAGCCAATGCCTATGGCCAGATAACCCTCACCTCAAGCACATCCCGTATGGAGGCAGCAGACTTGGATCAGAGGGTCCTGCTGACCATCCTGTGCTCAGAAGAACTTGCTGACCAACACCAGGCTGAAGCTGCTGCATTCTCCCTCATCAGTTTTCTTTCTTAAATTCTCTGGAGTGAAGGGGGAACCTTCAGAAATAAATGTTCTGGACTACATTGGAATCTGCCCCAGAGAATATGTTAAGAAGTATTGACTCTGTTTGTCGTGTATCTGAATTTCCTGATTTGCCACTGAGGAATGTGATGGGTGCAACTGCTGCAGGCTGGGCCAGATCCTACCAACTCTTGAGATTTCATCAGAATTTTTTTTACATGGGAGATCAGCAGGACTGGATCTGTTCTCAGCTGTTGCTTTGTACTGAAGGTCTTGTTCAAGTTTTAGCCAACTCAAGGGAGTAGCAGTTGCCTCTGCATCAAATGGTGTTTTTTTGTTTCTCAGAAATCCAGGAATAAGTTTCTGTAGTGGGGCAGACATTAAAAAACTGGGTTTCAGACTGGATTTCCTACTGACAGTAGCAGAGAAATATGTCAATGCAACTGGTTTGATAAGCACTTTGGATCCCTCTCAGGGTCCCCTAAAAATATTGCTCCTTGTTTCATCTCTGAAGACAAAAGGATTGGAGCCAGCAAAATGAGAGCACAGCTGAGAAGATCAAGGAGGGTGCTTCTCCCAGCTCCTCCTTCCTTCAGCCCAGTCCTGGTGTTACATCTGTCAGCAGGAGAGAATTCTGTCAGGAGAACTGGCGTGTGAGGACATTTCGAGGAAGGGAAGCAGAATGGCTGTTTGTTAAACAGCATCCCAGCACCGATCCTTTACTTGCCACATCCACCTTCTTCAGAGCCTCCTTTGCTGCTCCGATGTTCTTGGAGTTTCTTGCCTCTGGGATTTGTCAAGAGACATTTAGCGCTTTCTGGGACACGTTGCAAAAATGTCATTTTTTTTCTCCATCAGCCTTGTAACTGTAGATATTCCTGTGGCAGCTAATTACTCATGGAGGCAAAACTCGGGAGCAGACAGACACAGACTCTGAGAGCAACCAGCTCTGATGTTGGCTGAGTAGGGAATGGGTGAAGCATTGAGCCGAGAACGTGGGAATCTTTACTGATTGTTCAGGGAAGCGAAATCATATTTAAAACTCACCTATTAAACAACAAAAAAAAAGAATTCTAATTTTATCTTGCGCCGCTCTTTTATTTCCCCAGTTTTCTTTGTCCTCACAATTTGTCTTTCAGTTCATTGTTCTTCAGTGTCACCTTGTTTATCACTCTCTGTCCTTTCAGAGAAGCTGATAACCTGAAATCTTTATGTTAAAGTTACCTTGGGTGGTAGATGCTTTATTATTTCTTTTTAGTCTGCAGGTTGGGAAGAAATGTGGGATTGGGGTACTGCTGTCTGTTGCACTCATGGCTTTCAAGAAAAGCTGGAGCTGAGTTTCTTGGGCAGTTTCTTACACAAGTTGAAAGTGGATGGTGTGTAGTTTAGCTGGACAAGTGTACTTGGATTGAGCAGAGATCAGAAGGAACTAATTACTCTTGCCTGGACTTCATTTCAATTCTGGAACATTAGTAAGGCTTTGGAGTAATGTACTTCAAAGGAACTGAGGGAAAACTGATCTTTCTAGGGTAAAATATCACTTTACTTTGCAATATAGAAGTATAAACCACTGGAAGTGTGGGGTTTTTTGGTCCGGACCTGGTTCTAAGTTAAATTTTCAGAGCTGGTGCAACTTCACAGATACACTAATATTAGACAGTGGTGAAGCCACATCTTCTCCCCTCCCTGTTTTGAATTTGGCATCCACGCCTGAAGTTTATTGTGTTATCAGGTGCTAAAGGCCACAGCTGTGAAGTGCTGAACTGAAGATTATCCAAGGCCATTGCCCAGGGCTGGAGAGCAACTCTGCTGTTCTTCTTGGGCTGTTGGATGCTGAACTGCAGCACATTCACACAGACCACTTTGCTCCCACAAGAAGGGTGTGCAGGCACCTGTTACTGCTCTCTCTTCAGGCACAGGGCCAAGGATGGTCATTTCTGGAAGAAGAGCAGGGGGTTGAAGAGTGTGTGGTACCTGCCCATCCTCATCTGCACTGGCTCCTTTCGAGCTTGCCCTGTCAGGTTGAACAGATCCGTGGGCAGGTCCCTGCTCCATTCCCTGTCCTTTCAGCACTTGACAGAATCAGCCAATTCCCAGTTTTCAGGCCCAAAGCACTCGTCCCTGAAATTGGATTAAAGCACTAACTTAGGGAATGTCCATGATTCCCTGGCTGGCTGTCCTGACTTCCTCCTACTCTTGTGGATGCTCCTCTCCTACCTTGAGGAAAAATGCTCTCTTTGGTTTCAGGGCACTTTTTCCTTTTTCAACCCCAAAACACAGCTCCCATCCACACTCCCATTTTTTTCCTCAATGCCAGGAAGACTAAACCCTGGCTTTTTCTACCTCTCAGAGGCATGATGGCCTCTCAGCTCTGAGAAGGATTTCAGGGTCTCCAGCTCCACCGTGTTAACCACATGCCGTAACCCTTGATAGTTTGGTCCTGTGGGGTGCAGAAACCTCCTAAAAATGCTGGGTTCCCTCAGGAAACACCAAAATCCAGGCTGATGGTTGCACACCCTGTCCTTAGTGAAGCATCTTGCAGATGCACATCCTAGCTGAGATGGCCTGACCCACTGCCAGAGGTATTTGGATGTCTGTTAGGATTTGCAAAGTTTCTCAGTAAGTTAGACACCTAAAGCCCCTTTAATATTTCACTGTGGGCAAACAGCCAATTTGCCTTAATGTGGAGAGTCACCATTCCTTGGCTTTAACCTTCAGCCTTTTGCAGTCCCCAGTCCTGCAGTTTGGAGCAAACACCAGCTCAGCTCTTTGAAGACAAACCAGGCAGTGCTGGGCTACCATGATCGACATTTAGTCACCTGAAAAGCCTGCCTTGGTCTTTGCAGGGCACAAAATTGAATGTGGCAGAGCTGCTGTGCCACCTCAGTGTTTTAGAAGCTCTGTACAATCAGGCCACTTCAAATACTTTTTGCTTTTCTGGTGCAGTGCGTCTGGAAAACGATGAACTCAGACTGTTCCTCTCATTTCCAAATTCAAGTGCCAAAAGAGAAGAACATGCTGCAACTGAACACTATTAAAACCAGCTTTATTACACGTGGATAAATTTAGTCTCAAGGGCTCCATTTTGGTGCTAAGATATGTCACGCTGTATTTTCCATTGCTTGGGATTACAAAGCTGATTCCCTTCTCCAGGAAATATTTTTCTGTAATCTGCAACGTCTTGAACATTAGGATTTTTTTTTTTTTAACTTGTGACTGTACACTTTTTAGCTCAGATACACTCAACAAATACCCCCTCCCCCCAATCCTGTGAGTTTTGGA